ATATATATATATATATATATATATATATATATATATATATATATATATATAATTATATATACTGTAACCAACATCATACAACTGCATACTTAATATAAAATTGCTATCAACGATTATAATGTCAACTTTGATTTTGATATATTTTAAAAATGTCTCATATCATTCTGAATATTCATACTATATCTAAATCCAAAAAGAAATCTAATTATTATAACACAATCTAATTATTATTACAACACATCGGGCGAGTTTTTTAATTCATCGATGGATCCATCGATGAATTAAAAAACTCGTCCATTGTAATAATACTAAATTTTCTTAAAATTATTAATAAACTTATAATTATTAATAACTTTATAACTTTATTAGTCAGAAGAATTTTTATACCATTCAAGGACTTTTTTGCCATGTTTTATCAAATAATGTATTCCAATATTGACATATGTAGAAAACATTGCTATAAAAAAATCTGCCACACATATATATAAACTTGTAAAATTAGTTGTACAAATTGAAAAATAAAATCACAAGTATTTTTGTAGAATTTGATATTTACGTTTTTAAATGAACTGTAAAGCACGTTCTTTGTGCTTGTTAATTCTTTCAAGAGTATTATGTCTATTTTTTATGATGATATAATAAGACGTCTGAGCTGTCGTTGAATAGTACTATTTGATAAAGTAAAGTGCGTCCGAACCATTATTTAGCCATATCACATCCTCGTTTCGTTTAGGAAAGTGGCGGCTCGTTGCGGAAAGTTTGGAATTAATTTGAACATTTACACAAGAATAACGGATTTAAGATTATTTAAGATTGTTTCAAGTTCAGATTCTGTACAGATCATTTTATTGATTACAAAGCATCTAAATTTAAGATCTTAAATATGAAGGCCCGATTCCACCAACGTCGATCAAGCCTTAAACCGCGTTTAAACTATCTGAAACAAAGACTTATGGCTCCTGCACACAGGACGCGGTAATGTTTGCCGCGCGGCAAACATTACCGCGTCCTGTGTGCAGGAGCCATAAGATTATGCTCATTTTTACAAACTTTAGATAACTTAATTGGTTGGTTATTTCAACAGAATTGACTAATCGCATCTGTCAATTCTGATTAATTGATTCTGATTAAAAATGCGATTGGTTAATTTATTTGGAATAATCAGCCGGTTAAGTTAACCATTAGACGTCTTATTTGCTCACTTAGCGTTCGGGCGGCATTGATTTCTTCCCATAAGTTGGTAACGCTTGAAAATAAATTGCGACGCGGTAAAAACAATGTATTCCACAATTCGTCTAGTTTCCGCGATTTTGGCTCGTCGAATGTGCGTCTCGTGTTCGAATCATCGTCGGGAGCGCTGAAAGTAAGTCTGGCGCGTTCATCATAACGAGACATTGTCAAATAAGCACCTAAAATGTGTATGTCGCAAAATAGACAGTTGGAACTTCCGAAAAAAGTACCGCTCGTTCGTCGAATTAGTGACTAAATTTACACGGCAGCTTAAACCGGTTAAGTAACAACCGTATTTAGTAAATTCTCGCATCCGATTGGTATATTCTTTTAGATTTAGAAATATATCCCAATCGGATTCAAAAGTTTACTAACTACGGTAGTTACTAAACCGGTTTTAAGTTGCCGTATAAACTTAGTCAGTGTTATTGTCTTAAACGAATATTCGGAGTGTCACAACAGCTGGAAGCCAGGATGCCCAAAATTAGTGCCAGAATGACTATATAGTCATTCTGGCACTAATTTTTTATAGGTTTCAATGTTAGCGAAAGTGACAATATCCATGCAAGTGCAACACAGGGATTAAAACTTCAAGTTAATATTTGGAGTGTCATGACGGAGCAATTAGTAGATTTATTCTGTAACTTCTTAACGACAATGTCACTAGCGTGATGTGCAGCTTTTCTACCACATACTATATACCTGCGCAACGACCACGTAGCGATAACGACACAATTTAAATCAATAGTTGAATTTAAATCAATAGCGAGTTTTATTATTTTAAATCATTTCAAACCGCGGCAGACGTCAAATTTCAGTTTGGCGTTAGCACCAAAACGCCATCTGTGTCGCATCGGCACACTAGGTTTTCGTGTTATACTTGCCTCTCTGAGTGGGGTGATTGACCATATTTGGTGAGTGAGGTGATTGACCGCGACCGACAGAGATGTCCGCGTAACTAGAGTGAGTGTGGGTGGACATCCTTGGTACCATTCTTGTCGAGGTCGCGGAGTGAGGCAAGGTCATCGCCACGGTCGCTGTGCCTTTACATCATATATGTAATACTAATATATGGCGCGTAGAGCTCTCAGCGGTACCGCAACACTACGGTGCAGACAATGCTCATCTGTCTTTTTCTGTATCAATATCAGTGTTCTGTCTGTGCAAAGCGCATGCGTAACGTTTACCCTTCCATCATGGTCTAAGCCAATACGATTAGGCCTGACGCCTTACCGAACTAACCTTATACACACAGACACAACGTTATAGGCACTTTTCATATTTATTTTTCTTATTTATTATCAATTACTCAGTTTCTTTAATACATTTCCAGTGAGAAATGACTTGTCGATCGACGTCGAAAAGACGTCGCTATGTTTACATGTGTACATGTTACATTTTGTCGTCACGCTTGCGCATTGCGATCATAGAACACTCATTTTTAGTGAGCCAATTATCGTCCATCTTCTATCTTTCAGTCTTCTTTCACTCTCTCTTATAGCAAAAATTCCTCTACGTGCCATATAGTAGTTACGTATATGTTTTACATATATACGCGCTATATATTATATATATATATATATATTCTCAAAATAGCCTCGCGGAATCTGACTATTGTTTACATTCACGTGCCGCGTCCTAACCCTACAGTGTGTGAAAGGGTAGCACTGACTGATCGAGCGTGCGGATCGATACAGACGTCAATAATCTCACTTGTAGGCATCGTAGCGACTTGAAACGAAAACCGTCGCAAACGGGAAATTACCGCGCTTTCGATGGATGCGAAATCGTTCATTAATGTACATTAATCTATGTTAAAAACAAAAAAAATCTTAATTTAGATCTATAATGCGAAGCATCAGTTTTGTTTTTGACAGTTACAAGATATAGTTTTAATTATCATTGTATCTACAACAGCAGATATAGTTTGCTATAACGCCGAAGCTCAAATAACTAGTAAATTTAGCTCCGTCAGCAACAATATTAGCTGTTCCTATTTCAATAACAAATCTGAGTTGCCACAGCTGTATTTTAGCTATATTAGCTATATTTAGTTTCTGTTTCTGAAAAATTCTCTTTCTGTGTGTAAATTAATCTCTTGCTCAGAAACTACACGCTATAATATACTCGATTTTAACCGGTACTTTATTTTTATGTAAATATGTATAGATCTATCTTGTTGACTCGTATCTTGTAAACTTAGGTAGATGTCTAAAATTTATTTAGATATCGGTCTTGATTTTTTGTGATTACTTCATAAGCAATATTTGATGTTTGTTGGCTCTTAAAAGTAATTAAAGAGTACTAAGTTTTGTTCATCCTTATTATTAAACGCCAATTCTTGCCAAATTACTCGAACTCTAATATCGGAAATGCAATAATAAATTAGCATGTAAGCAGTGATGTAGCCAGAAAAAAATTTCGGGGGGACTGCACTTTTTATTTTTGACGAGCAAAAAAGGTCATTCGAAAAAATTTTTCTCACATTTGACGTAACCCAGAAAATTAATTTTGGGGGCAGCCCCTTCAACCCCCTGGCTACGCCACTGCATGTAAGTAGTAAATAATTCTAATATATATATTTTCTACATCACTTTTTTAAATTTTGGAAGTGCCTGTTTGTAATCTGAACTCATACTGTTCGATGATAAGATGTAAGATGTAATATATACGCTACAGATTAAAAGAATAGTATTTATTACATTCTATTGCATATAAAGTTATTCACTACATATATGATAGATATTTAACAGATACAGAAAGTTTTTCAGCAATGATGTGACAATTTTCTTCTTAACTATCAGCTATCCCCGGTAAATTTGTACGGTAAGTAATATCTAAAATATAACTTAATCAAGATCATCTCATACAGTACTTTGTCTGTTTTGTTAAACTTTGTTACCCTTGACCCTCATATTGAAATATATCACAGCTAATCGTTTGTACATTCTTTAAGATTAACGACGTCGAACACCCCGTGTATATAGCAATAACGCAGTGAGAAATATCATTGCAGTGAAGCAAAAAATTTGCTTGGTGTGCACTATGTCTTCACGTTTTGTAGAAGAATGCCGAGTGGTCAACAGTAGTGACGCACATCACCGGGCGATAACCGACAAGCTGTGTTGGTGTCTGCGTTGCTGCAGCCTGAGGATCGCGGAAAAGCTCATGCTGTCATTCTCTCTCGGGCTACCGTGGCAGTCAGACGTTCCACGTGACCCACTATCTACATCTTTTCGTCTCTTTTGCTCCTGCGCGATTATTTCCTTGCTTCTCTTCTCTAACATTGTCCAGAACTCCCCTCCTTACTCCCGTTCGCATAAGACTTAATACGCATACGCGATGCTCCGCGCGAGTCCGCCGCGCACCACCGCGTAAGCTCCGTCGCGCGGGCAATCGCAATACCGCGGAACGGGGTCGATCGAAACCACCCACGACGAAGAAGCGGGAGGTCCGAAAGTCGCGAGTTGGTGCGAGAGGGATCACTGCGATTGCCGCCGTTGCTGGTGGAGCCACCACCTGGTCGAGATTCGCGCGAGGGGGCCAAGGGAGTCAGCAGCACGGCAGGGAGGAAAGGGTAATTGTATGTCCGCGGGAGGGGTGACAGGGAAATCGCGTATTGACGCGTCTGCGTGGTCACGCCGGCGCGTTACCTCGCCGTACGAGACGGCGCAACGAGGGGTAAAGGGTGTAAGGTTGGTAGGGGAGATGGTACGCTGAAAAGCTCTCGGGGGTCGGGCCAGCTTCAATCGCTCAATATTCAACCCCTCGCCGTACGGGAGCGCCCGAGGAGAGCAGCGGCTCCTCCAGACGGGAGTACGAATCGACCGTTCCTTCCTTTGCGCCCTCGCCCGCGGAGCTGTTCGATCGCGGCCGACGTTCCGCCGTCGTCAGAGGAACCGTCGCCTCCGAGTGGGAAAAAGTCGCCGACGGCTGGCCAGCCTTCGAGAGGGATCCCGCGGGTGGCAGCGCATTTTTCTCACCACTTTCCGCCTGTCGTCCCCGGATTCCGTTCGGCTCCGTTTCGTACCTCGCGCGTTGTCTTTCTCGCCGTCGTCGACAGCACAGCGGCATGGAGGGTAAAAAGGTCGAGCAATTTTACACCCCGCCGCCGAGACTCGGTAAATGGGAGGGTTTCCGGGTCTTTCTCTGGAACTCCGAGACGGGACAATTCCTGGGACGCACTGGCGCCAGTTGGGGTGAGTACACCTTTCTTGGTGTGTACACTTTTTCTTCTTTATGGTGTTTTCGCGACATTGAACCACCTCATCGTCGGTTCGTTTCGTCAAAGCTTTCTTTCTTCTCGACCCGCCCTTTGCTACTTACGATCGTCCTTGGGCACGATTATCCCGCTCGCGGGGAACAAAACCCTTCGATCAGCGAAGTCTGATTGATCATAGAGACTCACATCCTCTTGCATCTTGTTTCACTAGCCTTAACGTTAATATCCTGCCTCGACATGCCTTTAAATAGGTCACGATAGTATATAGCGTAGAGGAACGTTATATTATATAATGTAAAAAAGCACGAGTACATAAAACGTTATTTGGAGATCGTGTTAGACCGCAAGGGGCTCGTCATTTGCATTCAATAGCGCCATTGCGGTACCTTGGCTGTTCGATTTTGAGAGAAGCATCGCAAGTCTATTAGAACTCGAAGATGCAAAGGATCGTAAAATAAATGATACTTTTATGTCATGTATTTTCATGTTTCTCATTCTCCTCGACTCGACCCATTATTACTTCATATAATTTCATTACACTTATTTCATAGCATTATAGATTTGATAAAAAAGAAAATGAATAACACATGCAATTTTCGTAGATCTTGAAACTGAGTAAATTATCCGCTCAGCGATATGTCAGAAATTAAAGAAACGTGTAGTTATTAATCTGACTTTTGTTAAGCCGATTTTCGAATTGCTTTTATCATGATTCATTTTATTTTTTACTTCTACGCGTTTTATCTTTATCAAAAGACTTTTATTGCAGTGATATTTTTTTAATTCGTATCAGTTTCTCGAGAGACATGTCGAAGGTTATACCGCGAGGCCTCGTTACGTAATAACACATAAAAGGTAGTAGTTGAGTATCGCTGTTTTATTTTCTGTATCGACAAGTTTTGCCGTGACATTTTAATAGTATTTGCTATTGCAGCGACGTGATTCTATATGCAAAAATAAAATAATGAAATGTGCTTGCAGAGTAGTTAAATATGTAGCGAAAATGTGTAAAATTGAATATGATTAACTCATGAGCTCTCTAATAAGCATGATTTGAAGTAAAATAGTTCTTGGAAACATGAAAAAAAATTAATAAATTTTGACGCGGTAATGGAAACAAAAAATATACGTAATGTAATTCAACGGAAAACGATCCGTGTAACCACAACGCCGGAGGGGGATTCTCTTTTAATAATTATACTTTAAAATTCTTTTCCTGTAATCAAAGCGCTTATATTTCACTTGTTTAATGACAATACCTCTTTGAGGAAAATGACTTTGGTCTATCCCATTTTCTTCATGTCTTTGTCTCGAACAGCCACTGTTGCTTTACGCATTTAGATACGAAATTATATTGTTATATAATTTATATTGGCTGCTTCTTAGTTAGTGCACGCGAGTTAATTTACACTTTTAAATGGCACTAGTCGTAATGTCGTGTTATTACAGGAAGCGTAAAGGTAAAAAATTGCTCACCGTTGGCGAACTGATTACGTAAGATTTAAGGCTCCTCCGATAGAAGCGTAAGATGTCGTCTTATAGTTAATTGTTGTTTATCGAAGACTATCTTTTCGATACACAAAAATGTAATTCTTCGTAAGTTAACTTTTCTTGTGGAACGTTCAGTTGATAATTTTTTTTTTTTAAAGAATTTTATCCTTTCCTAGAAGAATTAATATTCTTTTCGAGGCAGCGAAGCAAACGAGCAAATATCTTATACTATGAAGTTTCTGGTAACGGACCGCTGATTTACCGCAGATATCTCTTAGCTTGTATTTAGTGTCGTGCACATCCTGTTTTGATAATGCCATACAAAGCGAGTTTTTCCTACATCTTACTGCTAATATATATATTTTATACATGCATACATCAGTTAAAAACAGAGTTCATATATAGTTTGAAACACATGTTTATTTGATAGAACCATTAGAAATATTTCTAAATAATATTTCTTATTTCGTATTTAAATAAATATTAACATTGATTTAATTTTGCCAATTTTCATAACTGCATTTATTTTAAATGGTTATGATAAGTTTATGCAGTATGATAATAAAATATTATAAATTTTAATGCAACAGTATTTTATTTATATGTCAATTAATTTTTTATTGTTATTTATGTCACTAATTGTGCATTTAATTGGATTAGTAATTTATCGTTCACCCGAGTGTTATATTTACTGTTGCTTTATACATCCGTTGCAAAATTATTTAATAATGGGTAAATAACTAATGGGTAATGACAGATAATAATTTTAATTTGATTAATGGGTTGACATTAATTTAAGTAACGATTTAAGGATTAGATTAAAATTCGAAATGGAGGGGATAAGAATTTACTGCTGTCGATTTATTTTTGCTATTCAAATTCCGTTATTAAAATATAGAAATTTGTGACAGTTTATCGTTACCACATTTAATGATTCGTGAAAATTACTGATTTTGCAAAATTAATAACATTGAATAACACCATAATAATTATTATTTAGAAATTTTAAAGCAGTTTACTATTGAATAACAATTATGTCACTTATTGTTTTACAGAATACCATAGAGGGTTTATTTGTTATTCATTTATTAGATTATAAATTATACGTTCATGAATAACTTGACTTCAAGAACGTATTGATTTTTAAAAATTTAACAATATTTGAAATTCGAAGGATCCTAGGATTCGGCGGGAATTATTAAGCATGTTTTCTTTTTTTGAACGCCCATAGAATGTTTCGTTATGACAACAGCATTAAATACATGAATGAATTGTATCGAAACACGCAATGCTGTCGCACGCCGTGCGTCACGAAATCATTACTAGATCGCTGATGAACGGAAGATTAATACGCGACTAATGTTACATAACACTTTAGCGGAGACTATCGTCGGCAAGTTGTCGCAAAGAAAAAACGTGTGCATATTCGTGTATTAAGGCATTTGAATCTCCTCGATCTCACGATCTTTAGTCAATCAGAAACGAATTTATTGTTGAATTATTTAAAATGAATTGCATAAAACTGAATATATACGCATATAATTGAATAAATATATATGATTGTTTGACGTATTTGATTTGTTTAACGTACGAATTCCCACGATTAAATTATTACGTAAATCGCGAGACATAATAATGATTGAAGCGCTGAACGCGTTACATGCATCAAAGCGTTCGTCGAAACGGGCGTGTTTCATTAATACTTCAACAACTGTCGTTATCTGCCACTGATATATCGAGGTAAATAGGAGAACTTGCGAAATAAGAAGTCCTTCAGCTATTCCGTCGTCAATTATACATCACAATGTATGTTAAGTCTAAAAAAGATGAAACAACCTCGCAATAGACAGTTGAAATTTCGCTAGCAGTATTCAAGCTTATAAGCTACATCCCTTCCTAATCACCCCTCCACCCCGGTCTTACTCTATTTTTTCTCTCCGTTTATCCCTCCCCTTTCTCTATCTGTCTATCACCCTTTCACCCACTCGCTCAACCCCTCCGCCTCTCTCTTGTTCTTGTTCTATTGCTGTTTGTCTATTCCCCTTCGCTCTTCTATTGCGGTCGATCGACTTCCGTCGAAATCAATAAGAGCCGTCTCCGTTACCATCTCGCAGAAATGGTATGGTCTGATTTCTATACTGGATAGTGTTAGCGTCTGCGCGCAGCCAACGCAGTCGATTTTTGCGGCCGAATGTCCTACATTCGAGTTCAATCCTGCGGACCTTTTCCGGAAAGGATGAAAATAGGCTTTCGCGAAACCGCTCACGCTGCAACACGGTTTCGTTGATAAAAATCGAGTTTGGTAATTACATCACCGTGAATAATGAGAAACGGAGTCGACGCCCGATGTGTTAACGTAAACCGTAAAGTCATTTACTCAGTCGGGGCGAATTTCGATTACATTATCCTCGACAACGTCACTATAGATTATCGAAGTTGACGTCATCCTGCCCATTCGATGTAGATAAGAGAGGCGAGAGGCTCCAAATGGTCGCTTGAATAAGTCTACACGCTAACGTCTATACGATGAGTGACAGAGTTTTACAATAAAATAAGAATTACCGAGAAGAGCTGTGAGAAATTCTTTTCAAATAGATTTTCTACTGATTAATAAATCGTTACAGAAACATCACAAAATTATAGCATTGCATTGAACTTGTTTCATTATCCGGAGAGGGGGAGGGGCGAAGATGAAATACAATTTTATATATGGCTACAGGAAATTATAATTGTAATTTTTTCTTTTTTATTCTTTTGTAGTATATACTAATAGTTACGTAACACAATTAATAGCTCTTCCTATTTATAAAACATAATGCATCTCGGACTGATATTCATCACGAAGCTTTAGTAAAAATGTTATTCGTTACTGTTTATTCATTATCAAAGCAGAGTACCAACGACCTACTTGACGACAGAAACGCAGTCGGCTCGCGTCGCCGCATTCGGCACCGAGTCGATCGATATCTCGAAAAAAGCCATGGAAATGTTACGTTGCCGTAGTGACTTCGTAATGACGTACAGCCATTGATGCGGAGGGTGAGACACACGAGTTGCTCGTCCTCCGTGATAACTCTATTGCTCTTGATTCGAATAATTCCAACAATTAATTTAATCACTTTGTTAGACACACGACAGTGTCTCGAGTTCGGAGAGTTCGGAGAGCTGTTGCATTCGATCGGTGAAGTAGTCCCGCGACGATTGCTATTATAAACAGTCCCACAATTATATTTGACGCGTTTAGACATTTAAAGTAATAGTAGTCTTTCTACTATGGAACGTATAGAATATACACGATGATTTGGATGTGACTTTATTCGTTGATACAGCGAGTTGCTTAAAAATAATTTTTAATCATGCCATGGTAAAGACGCTGCAGTCGCATTAATGATTCCACGAGGATACATCACGACGCGCGCACGCAAGTATATTCGTCAACAATTTGTGTAACAAACGCGTGGTATCGCTTACCCAATACCAATTCAGGCCAATTAGACGTCGCATCATAATTGTCTCAGTGCTGCAGCCTTCGGCCGGCAAGCAAGGCACAGTAACGATAGAAATTACGCTTGTGAAATAATTGCAATCGATCCCGACATTAATTCAAGCCTCGACGAGATGTATTCCGCCATTTCGTTTTCTATTTTTCTAAGCCAAGTAATTATTAATCGTGAACAAAACAGCCGACTAAAGGAACCTTAACATTTAATTTTAGTCGAACAAATTACACAAGGTCAGCTCGAGCTAAACGTTCACGAAGGAACAGAGGTCGATGAGAGTATGTATGTATCAGCACTAATTTCAATCTACTGGATTGGAAGAGCGCGCACATACACACACATTCCAATATCAAGAAGGGATTCCGTATAGAAGTAGAAATAGAAATCACTACTCTGCACACAGAATGTCTATACAACGTTGTTACTCCATAGAGTTTCCCATAGAATTTACATAACGCATAATTGTCTTAAAGAGAGCATCGCTTAAAAGATAATACGTGTTTTTCAGGACGTTTTATCACGTGCTAGGTACATTTAAAAATTATGCATTGTCAAAATTGCTAACAAATAAGTTCCAGCGATTTTTGTTTGTTCCTTCGGATCAACAAATTCGTCGTGTGACTTACACTGACAATTATGTCTTTCAGCTAAAATCTTGCTGTTCTACGTGATTTTCTATGCCGTCCTGTCGGGCTTCTTCGGCGCGATGCTCGCTGTGTTCTATCAGACGTTGGACCCGAACGCGCCGAAATGGCAGTTGGATAACTCGCTGATCGGCAGCAACCCCGGTCTCGGTTTCAGGCCTATGCCACCCGAAAGCAACGTCGAGAGTACTTTGATTTGGTATAAAGCCAGCGATGAAGGCAATTATCTTCACTGGACCAGGGAATTGGACAAATTCCTGGAAGGTGAGATCGTCTCCAGAGTTGAAATATTATCTTCAACGAGGTCGAAATGACTTTTTATTCTCAATGGACTTTACGTACTTCCTCTGAGAATTTTTTAGAATAATGTTTGTGCACAATTTCCAGAGTATCAGAAACCGGCTAGCGGCATGAACGGTTTCGAGCAGCGAATAAACTGCGATTATAACAAGGCACCACCTCAGGGTAAGGTCTGCGATGTAAATATGGCTGCTTGGGGAAAGTGCACGAAGGAGAACAAATACGGTTTCAGCAAATCTGCACCTTGCATTTTCTTAAAACTCAACAAGGTTTGTATGTTTTTTTTGTTGATTATATCAAAACCTTGTCGAATTCTCGGTATTCTCTTAGAAATTAGCTATTAGCTATGTTATTTGGATATATAAACATCTATTTATATATCCAAAAATTTACATACACTATTTTATTGACACTATAAAATATTGTTCCCGCTTGTTTTCAGATCTTCGGGTGGAAGCCGCAATTTTATAACGATACGAAAAATCTGCCATCTACAATGCCGGCGGATCTTCAGGAGCATATCAAGCAGGAGGAACCTGCCGGTAGATTGGACACTGTCTGGGTATCCTGCGCCGGTGAGAATCCAGCCGACGTGGAAAATATGGGCGCGATTCAGTACATTCCGCGTCGCGGTTTTCCTGGCTACTACTTCCCGTTCACGAACACCCCGGGATACCTGAGTCCTCTTGTCGCTGTGTTCTTCGAAAAACCAAAGTGTACGTATGTCCACCAATCGTGATTCCGTACCACTCATATGGAGGTGAGCCGTTCAGACAATCAACATCCATTCGTTCTCGTTGCAGACGGCGTGCTCATCAATATCGAGTGCAAGGCATGGGCGCACAACATCATCCACGACAGATTCGAAAGGCGCGGCTCGGTGCATTTCGAACTGATGGTGGACTAAGCCCGGCTGCTTCGGCCAATCGTTAGACCACCACCGCTACCAACCGCGTCCACGTAGGAAGCCGCAACAAAAAAAAAATAGTAGAGGACAGAGAGAAGACGTTTCTTTTTTAATCTGCCTCGTTGGCCGACCGCGATCACACCCTGTGCCATCCGGTTTTCTCTCTGCCGACGATACCGCCCCGGATCAGCCTTACTTCTTCTCACCGTCGTCATTTCATCGTCAGTTCATCATCTTCGTCATCGGGCACTTCACAACGATCGCGACATCGCAGTCCGTCTCTCCGCGTTGTTCGCCAAGTTAAGAAAGAAGACGGAAGAACGAAGGGATAGGGGGAAACGCGAGGGGACTAGAAAGAGGAAAAGGTAGTGTGTTGGAAGAAGTGAACTCAACGTTAGCGATCAACTATTCAATTCGACATGCACAAAACGAAATGAGAAAGGGAGGGTGGGAAGGGTCGAAATAAATAGTCCCGCACAAAAAGCCGGGCGGTATCCTCCCTTATTTCTGCCAGGGTCGTGTCACGGGGAGTGATCTCGACCATCGACGGCTACGTCGATCGTTCGCAGTACTACTTCATTCGCGCACGCGACAGAGAGAAAGAGAGAAAAAGAGAAAGAGGAAGAGAGAGAGAGAGAGAGAGAGAGAGAGAAAGAAAAAAGAGAGAAAAACAGAGATTTTCCCTTAGTTTCAAAGCCCACCGCCCGTTCCAGTTAGTATTCTTATTAAGCTTTTCGTCACACACGTTCCTTTCCACGACGACGCGAGTTCGGCCGACGAGTCGCGTCGACGCGGCACCGCGGATGATCGATGATGATCTTAGGTTTGGCCATGTAGATACTTTAGATTATAGCGTATTTCTGCCCGTCGCTACGGTACATCTCGGCATGTGTTATATTGGAATTCCTCAGCGAGAGAGAATAAGGGAGAGAGGGCGCAAGAGGAAGGCAGACAGAGACAGAGTTCTCACAAAGTGAAACTCAGCGAATTCTTAAGTGAAGAGAGCGCAGGCACAAAGGGGTACAAGTACGCGTTAGGTTCAGTTGGAGTGATCACTGTCGAGGGGCAACGGTGAACGCGGCTTGTGACTTCATCGATAATCTCGAGCGATACTGATCGAGTCTCTCGGGTACATTAATCAAAAGCGACACAAAGCTGCCATCCGCCAGTATCCGTCGAGACGCCGAACGAAGTCGCGAGTTCTATACGTAGAATCACTTCCTCCCCTTGCTCGTGATCTCTCCGAACGTTATCTGTATTTGTAAGATACATAGTCGATTATTATATAGTTGAACAAACGCGTAGGGAGTCGTTGAAGAACTTTCGTTTATCGAAGTACACACAATCGAGCTTCAGAACATACCGAAGTGTAGTGCACTCGTTGATTTGGAGTTGAGACGATTTAGTCAGGACGATTAATTCTTCTGTGGTTTATCTGTTATCATTCATAGCGACACCGATCGGAATTCTATTTGCATCACTTTGCCGTAAAAGCTATCACGTATGATACTTGTGTCGCACGTATGTTACTTGTATTCCTTTGTTCCAGATATTTTCAATTTGAGAGAATTGAGAGATTATAAAACAGATTACTATTGAAGTCAGAGCTGTGGGGCGAATATCGCGAAAGAGTGTTACAAAGAAATGGAAATTAAGAGCTTGATGAGGCGATCGATGGTTGTTGCCACTCGCAGTGGTGTACGTTGAACGCGACTGACGACCTAGGATTCTCGATGGATCTGTAGGGCTTATTTTATGCGGAGGCACTCGGATTCGCGAATTGTTGAATCTACTGATTTTTGAGCTCATAAATACTTGGATTTGCATATTCTTGGACTGGCAAGTTTTTTTAGGATCGTAGAATTATTAAAGATGTATGTTTCAGTCTTCAAATGTCACGATAAAAATCTTAACGGGATTCAAGGTACAATGTGGTCAGACGTGACACTGCCATATCAGTTGCGAGTTAAGACTTCTTAAACAAACTGATGAATGGTAAAAAAAATCGTTTAAAGTCATATGCAGAGAAAGGGGACATGTCCGTGTTGTAAGATCGGACAGCTAAACTCTAGTTTGCAAATTTGAACGCAAAGTTAGACGGTGACAGCGTAGAAAACTTTTCGGTAATTCGAGCTACAGGAAAAGAAAAGAAATAATGTGTTCCACTTATTATTCCAAGAATCTCTTATCTGGGGATGTATGAGGGCAAGAATCTGCACACTCAGGAATCTATAAATTAACAACAAGATCAACAGATCCGAAGATCTACGTGGACCTAAGAATCTAATATTAAAAGAAAAAAACAATTTACGGACACGAAGATTCGCGAATGCAACAGTCTGTAGGTCCAAGGATCTATTAATTTTATTGATTGATACTTTAAAGATATTTTTGTGATTAAACAGATAAAAAGAGAGCATTGCAACGCTTCACCAGTCTCACATTGACAAGATATGTTACGATAGTATAAAGAGGCTTTCACACGTTCAGTATTTAAGGCTCTGAGAGAAAAGCTGCTTGTACATAATTTCTACAAAAGAGTTTAAAAGTGTCTAAAGGTCCGAAAGCAATTTTGAGGAGCACTTGCGATCAGTAATTACCACATCTTTAATACGAACACGTCGATTGTATACTGATAATACCAAAATGTTATAGCAACGATATATCGATACTTACCGAGACATTGGACCTGTTAAATTAATAGTAAATACCGATTGCGGTGACAAACTTTACAAGTACTTAAAAGGAGATATAATTTAAACTATTGATTTTTGGATGTACTTAAATCAGAGAGGTTTCACCAATCTCGAAAAAAGAACTGTCGATATATCGCATTAATTATATCACAGACAAGCGTTCAGCCCCGACTAGCGGCATATGAGAATTTATATCGGTTTCGTTACGACCATACGACACGCCACATAACACGGGGAAGAATGCATATGATAGTGCTTAGTGCTAATTTACACCAATCCTGCGAGTCGTTGAGTTATTAATTTCCGAGAGGAAAATCGAAAAGCTGCTTTTTCCGCATCGACAAAACGTCGAAGAACGAACGTTTTGCGTCATCGATACGGATACCTTTTCATGAAACTGGAGCTTGCAACTGAGAAAACGATATATGTAAACTCTCGTGTACAATTACTTTGTGTAGTTCCATTACTATTAATTATTGCGCGACGATATTACTATGTAATATTAGTACTTACCTTTTTAGAACGTCTTGTCAATGTTTAAGAGTCTTTAAAACGTCTTGAGATCTTTAAGACGACGTGTTAGGTAATATATATAAATGCGTTCACAGAGTGATAAAGATTCTTGAAACTTAGAAATTTTCAATAAATATATCTTATTAAGATAAATATATAGCAAAGCATATATTGGTTGAATATAGATTTATATCTGAACTTTACCAATTCAACTCGTGAAACACATCTTTTATTTATGACCAACCCTCTTTTGTGTCGACATTTACTTTCACTCTATTCATGTGAGAAACTGTTAATTTACACAACGCCTAATATATTAAAATTAGATTTGCTTGATTTTAATTGATTGACAGTCGCCCTGGACTATATCAAGTCGAATTGTCGAAAAATATTCTTTTGTTTTTTTTCTTTTGATTTATATGTGACTACATTTGACAATTCTGGAGGATAATATGATTTTTTAAATCTATTTTTAATACAAAAATACTAGAATTGTATATTTTTAAGCATACATATCTGATTTATAGCCCCCAAATTCTTTTGGGATTTTCGAATTATTGAATTTTGTTATAAATTTTTACATATTCATAGATATATTTAAGTTTACACAATTTCATATCAGAAAATGCCTTACCGATTTTCTGGCGCTACACATTCTTAATTCGATGAATACTTTTTTCTAATTTACAAATTCTGGGATCTACAAATCATCCGATCTATAAATCCTGCGATTCATAAATTTATAGATCGATAGATTCTTAAATCGACAGATCCTTGCATTGAAAGATTCGTAGATTCACAGATTCTTGGATAATCGTCGATGGCATTGTTAAATCCGAAAAAAAAAACGGTGAAAGATATACAGAGGGGAGAAAGAAAAAATAGAAGAAAGAAAGGAGGGAGAGACGACAAAGACAAAAAGCGTGGACGGAGAGAATAATATATTATTAAAAGAAAAATATTATTATACTTGCAACCTACACATCAGGGCGGCTATACATATTATTCATCATTGTGAACGATCTGTTTCTAATAATGAACATCTAACTGTTGTTGAAGTATGAAAATTGTACTAATCACACGCATGAAAGAAAGAGAGAGAGAAAGAAAGAAAGAGCGAGCAAGTGAATAAGAAAAATTTGATATACATGATGAAAGAAGAAAAAGACGACGAAGAAGAAAAAAAGAAGCAGCCTCTAATAACGCGTACACCGGGTTCAAAGCTGATTATGTTTAAACTTCGTCAACTACCCGAATCGACGTCTGCTTTTCAAGGCCATCGAATTTTTATCGAGCCAAGAGCCAAGAATATTTGCATCGCGATCTTGGTGGTCAGGATATCGTTTGTTTCGAAATAACTTGCGTTCCCCGAGATCATCATTCGGGACGTATATCGTGTAGCCGACAAGTCGGATTTAATTTATCACTCGAATTGCGAGAGTGTTAGAGAAAAGGTCCCATAAACGAAAAAATCATAAAAGCGAAACGGATTAAAAAGGAGAAAGAAAAAAAAAGATCAAGCAGAAATTTGTAGTACGGTCCATTACGCATACCAACACATTAGGTGTATATATATATCCGTACTTATACGTATACTTACGCGTACACAGACGTATATATCCACGTTGTTATTGAGGATAAGTCAAAACTTTAATGTCCGAACGGCAGTGCTTTATATATAACGGGAGATCATATTACTTAATTAATGAAATATTTGATTAGATAAGGTACCTTTAGCGAATATGTTTAAGAGACCGATATATTATAGTATATATATATATATATATATATATACATATATATATATATGCATGCATATTTGTTAAATCCTGTTTGTCGTTGAATTATTGATAAGCCATGTGTAGTTTAAGATGTCTAAGCAGTGTCTTATGTTGTAATACATACATGTTGGGTGACGCTTGTTATGGACGTAATCGACGTGTATGTAAGGATGTACAACGTTACTATAGTTCCACGTGGCGCGATTTCTTTAGCGCGTACACGCGAGACATCCGGGGCGAAAGGGTGGATCAAGCCCGTGTTTCGTGAGGTTCACTTCACTTTATATCCGAAACGAGCCTTACACTTGTCGACTCGGTCCGCTCTCGGCCCGAACGTCTCGCACATATGTATATATAGGGTAACTATATATACTAATAATGCGGTGGATGGCGAAACGAGGAGGGTTCCGATGTGTGTCGTTACTGAAATTTATTGATCGACACTTTGGACAATTATAATCTCATGTATTGTAAAAGTTTCATCAGAGTGTTAAACGTTGACTGTATTTTACTGAACTAAGGACTTGATGCCATCAAACGTTGGAGTTGAGCCGTCCCAAGTGGAATTTTAGTGTCGTTAATATCACAAATTATGCGTGAATTAATGTCACAAAATCGCGGCGATCGCCCGACACGCCGATGATTCGCGAATCGCAACCGTAACGGCACAACTTTGTCCTTACCCGCCGTCTTGCTCGTCAGCAACGTGGCGCGACTCGTTAAATTCGACACAACATGCCCAGTAAGTGAAATCGTCGCGGGACGACCGACTCATGTTTCCGCGATCAACCGCATTGTAATTGACGATGAAGCGAAAAACTCGATCTCGTTGAAGAAGCGATTGCACATATGTGTCCTAGTGAGGCGGCATCTCCGCACAGAAAATTAGTTAAGACTCATCGAGGAGATAATCTTCTAGAGACTACTAGCGAGTCCTAAGAGTCCACCACGATCGTCTGTGATCGGTTTTGCACACTCTCTTTCGCGTATTACACTTTCTTTCACACTTTCGCATACTTTTGTGTGTAGGGAAGAGGTTTATCAGTTCGTGAGAGCGTATACACACTCACATTTGAGACAACCCGAGAGTATCTCAAGACCGGAGAAGAAGAGATACCGGGAAAAATAGCCGGTACGCGCTTATAGATAGTAAAAATAAAGCAAGTTACGCCGCGAGTCCCCCTCGCGGGGACGTACGCGCGATATTACATTAGAAACTGCGATTGCGCTGGACCTTTAGAGGATTATTTTTCTTCGTCATGTAGATAGAATGGCTCAGATGACTAATTGCTTAAAGCAACTATTAATTTAGGCGTTTTAAGATTTAAGCTTGTTGTCGTTGATTAAGATAATCGTACAGACCCGCCTCGACAATTATTATTATTATTACTATTATTATCGACGACCATCACATCGATTGGTAAAGTCCTTAAGGAATCGTTGTTGAGCGTCATGCAAACAGCGCTAATCGGGCGCAGTTTTCTTTACTGGTGACGTTCAATTCGATTCAATGCAACTCAACCGCAATGTTATTCGAGAATAAAGTCAGTGCCGTGCTCGGTTTATGAGCGCGATCACGTCAGCTGCGAAATAATAATTATTATAATTACAAATTCAAGGAAGAAGTAGTGATCGTAATCATACACCGGGAGAGGAGCGACAGTTTACGTGCACTCTGTTCATTAGGTCGTACGAACGTGACCGGATCCACGTATGTGTGTGTGTGTGTGTGTGTGTGTGCTTGATATGCACATTGGTGATCTATGAACGACGAGGAAAGAACTGGAGGAGTGAGACCACGAATAGAGATAGATCACTCTCGTCCGATCTCGACAGTGATCGCGAAGACGATTCATTTGACGCGAATCCGTTTCGAATTCGTTCGACGACCTCAACCGATGTTCGTTGTTTGCGTAGACAGTCGCAGTTTTGCGATGCTTCTTAGAGTTGCATCTGTCTTGACTCTTTTTCGCTTCGGATTTACCGGATCACGATCGCTCTTATTCCATTTTCCGCTCTGTGTAACCTTGGCTTCGAAATGCAGACGTTATTGTAGACGGCGGAAGATTTAAGCATGATTGGCTAATAAGGCATACGATAGGCATGATTGTTGATGACATCATTATACTTGAAATGTGTTACGGAGAATAAATCGGATCTACAGAAGTGCTTGGGAATTCATTTCACTGTGCGTTTAGGGAAGGCGACGGATGTCGTCCAAACAGCAAAAGAGCAATGCTTCTCATAGAAATTACAAAATTTCTGTTTATTTCTCTCGACCAAGTGTCTAAGCACTATTTAGCAATTGGATATCTGTGGGATAGTCAAGTATAAGAGATCTTAACGATTTTTAGATCTCATTTACATTCATTGTTTGATACACGTGTCAGCTTTCAAGTATGAATTACACCTTATCATGAGTCGCTAAAACGCAGCTCGTGTGCTCTCGAGAGAACTCGATCCGCTGACAGAACTACTGCCGACAAACTCGTCTGCACACGTCAGCCCTACATATGTCCACATATCAATTGCTGGTAAGATCACTTACCGAGTTGCTGATAAAATCACTGGTCTGGTGAGGGGCGTTTCGTCGCGCGCGAGCAATAATTTGAAAATACAAATGCAAGTCGCACCGCAATCCGCTTGCGCGCGAAGATAAATGTTCTATTCCCGACACTTTGCATACTTGACATAATTGCATGCGTGTACGATATTGCACGCGTGGCTTGCGAAAATCCTGTTTTACATTCTGACGTTCACCTCCTGCGTGAGAATGTCGAATTTTATCAGCGCGTTGCGCGCACATGTATACATGTAATCGTTCGACTCACAATTGGCAAAATTTCACGAATTTTCCGAGCTTGTCTCGCATTTGTATTCTCCGAACGGAATTAACACCGTCACTTACGGTCCAGCCGATTTACATGTAATTTCCTATTAAAGACCGACGATGTGACAGCCGTGGTGAGGAAGGTCCAGAAGACCCCACGCGTTGCGGTGCGCGCCATGGGAAATCAGTCGTGCATGGTGCTTGATAAATATGTGTACCGCGGCGACGGGTCCACGCGGCTCCGCGAGAGGAAGTCGAGCTTGCACGAGGTCGGGATACTTAAGAAACGAGAAGCGTTCCCGCTGATTCTTCCGTCTATTTTGCCCGAAGAGTTCGTCCGTCGGACGGCACACGGCAATGACATTAATGTCACATGACAAGATGGGCAGGATGTGGTCAATTCAGATCGGTCTCCGTGTGTGACTCACATTACACGCGCCTTCTAGCTCATCCCGGTGTGATAAAGGGAGTGGAGTGGACCGCCAATCGGACAGTCGCTGCGGGTCGCGCACACGCGTGCCGTCGCGGCTACTAAGGTCACACACACACAGGTTGACCTTAGCCCCCAATTTGCGAAGCGATTCGGTCGAGGAAATCGTAGTCTCCTGAATCGCGACGGATATACGCGAATTGTGGAAGATCAGGTGGACAGGTGCGTTCGCTTGGCGCGACGCGGTTCAGCAACGCCGGATTCGACGGCGATTTCTTAATTATGTCGCTACATACACACACTACTGAATATTACGTTAAAATAGATTCAGAAAATACCGAGTGATGCTCAATATTTCAAATTATCTAAAACGTAACAATCAAACTTCTGCTGTCGTGCACTTAAATCTCCGAGGTACGAAATGTTTTCGCGAAAAAAGTTGCAAAACGAGAAAATTATTCTCGCGACTTCTCGCTTCCTACACCTGTGGAATTTATGTCGATGTTGAAGGCGACGTTCCGAGAGAAGCACATCAATTTATTAATTTATTTATTGAACGAGGAGAAAGTCCTTCTTGTTATATATAATTTAGAAAACTCCTTTTATACATACAATTTCGAATTAACGATAATATTTGTCATTCAACGAATCGTGAAGATATATGAGCTTCCGATTTTTGTCGTAAACAAGCCTACTGATATTTGCATTTGTATTTCGCGTAGAGCGATTCTATCGATAAGTATGAGTGAAAGCGATTACTCAATGTTATGTTCACACGGCCAATACCGACTCTAGAAGTTTCATCGCCCCAACCGAGCAAATCCTTCTTTACTCTTGCCAATATTTCTCTAAATTTTAATACTTGATAAATACCGCGAAGACCAAAGAGTAGCGATCGGATAAAAGATACACAATCGAGGTATCGATACTTCAGTATCATAAGCATTCGTATTTGCACGCAGTACTGTTGTAGATTGTGAGCGCTGCATGCTCTCGCTGACTCGCAGGCGTGGTCCCATGAGCAATTAACGATGGCCGAGTCATCAACACGTGTTCATTGACACCAGATCCAAATCGGGGCCACTATGGCACGTGTCTTTTGTAAGGCAAACAACTTCGAGGAAGTCACTTGTAGTTTCTTTGTTTGCGTAAAGTTATTACGGTATCGGTAACTCTGACTCTTCTATACTTTCTTTCGATTTTTCACTTTCTTCCTTTTTCCAATCATTATTTAAACGTGTATTTATTCCATGTCGTAGAGGAAAGCATGATAAGATGCGAGAGAAAAAGGTCCGACCTAATGAGCGGAATGTCCGTAGCGAGGAAAATTTTTCATACACGCACGAACAGTGACGTCGGCGTGCACGATTGTCACCAACGCAACGACCACCGTAGCAACGCTCGTGTACACGTGCAAACGTGACACGTCATGGCAATGGAGCGACTGCTCGCCGAGGATCAGGGGCAGGGTGGAGGTAGAAGAGGACTCGTGCAGGAGTGAGCTATTCATTGAGCGTGGTGCACGTTGTGCCTGGAGTTGTCTAGCGACACACATATACGCTAGAAAAAATCGCGGCTGATTGAGGATCGCGGAAAGAGTCGCTAATGACAACGGCTCATACGCAACGATAGTTTACCGTTACGTTAATTGCTGCGACTCTCGGCGCTTTCACATGCGCAAAGCGCAACGAGGTGGGAGGAAAACAGAAAATTGCAAAGCTATTTGGAGTTGCACCCCTGCGAACGCAGGTGGGCGTTGGCGACTTGGGAAAAGTGTTACGTAACGGAAAAGCATCTGCTATCGGAATTCTTCTGTTTTCCAGGCGTTAGCTCACCGTAGAGAAACGGTCGCAAAGCTTCCAACGAAAAAAAAATCGATTGATGAGATTATCGAAAGCCTGGCATTAATAAAATTTATGAGTATCAAAAATAGAAATTATTTTATGAGGATACATTTTATCTGCATTTATATAATGCAAAAAGCATCAATCAACAGATCCATCGGGTTGGAGTTAATTGTAGTACATATGTATAATGTTGAGAAAATTGAAAAACAATGTATGATACATGTTTAACACTATAATGTTATTGCCGTCTTACTATCTATTATTCCGTCTTACGTCTTATTATTATTACTACATTTTAATGTTTCCCATGGTTCTAAGTATAAGTATTACTCATCTAATGAGTAATGTTTACCGAGTTTCTCCTCGTGATCTCACTAACGAAGAGAATTCCATAAAAGATCAATAATCCGTCTTAAAATTACTCGTTCTTATCTTTACAGTTGAGCATATATCTTGCCAGAGATAGTTGCCAGGGTTTTAAACCTGTTACCTGGATGACGCCCTTCGGGCCGTTATCTTTTCGAAACTGACGTGAATGACAATTCTTCCGAAGAGACACAAAATCGCATGTCGTAACAGTTTAGTTTGAGGAAAATCCTCAAGGTAAACCCCGCCCGAAATCTCCATCAGAATAACTTTGACCTATTCTGACGACAGTACCTACATCGTCAGAGGTGCGTGCGTCTTCTAGAACAGCCAGTACATTTGTTTGTACACACCTGGGCCCACGGAGAGTTGGGTCCGAACCTGCGGTCAAGTAGGGGCAGAGAGAGAGAGAGAGAGAGAGAGAGAGGAGAGAGGAGAATGCACGGTAAGGATGGCTATAGGAGGAGGGAGCGAGAGAGGAGGAGGAAGGTCGCGACGCGCTCCGGAGCGTTTAGTCAACCTGGTGGCGCCGAAGAACCAACTGTCGGCGGCGGAGCAGCAACCTGCCGGAGTCGGAGTCGTAGTGAACGGAGTGAAGAGGCGCGAGTCGAGGAGAACGAGGTGCGACGTACACGCGGAGCATTCGTAGTGAAATTCAGTGGCGAACGGGTTCGAATCGAAGTTATTCGCGTGTTTTTCTCCGTGGTACCGCGCCCGGTGTGTGCGGGCGCGCGCGCGCGCTCGAGTTCTGTGAGTCTCGCGAGAGCCAGGAGAAAGAAACCTAGAGGCGAAACAGGTGGGACACGATGGTAGCCAAGGACCCGAGGATGGTCACCGCGGAGTTGATGAACCCGTACGAGAAACCGCCGAGCATGTCGGTCAGCCAGTCTATGAGGACCTTTCTGTACAATCGAGAGACCGGCGCGTTCATGGGCAGGACCGCAAGTAGCTGGGGTAAGCAAAGGAAGGCGCGGTGTTGCCAGGTTTAGAGTTACTCGGTATCGTGGAAAGTTATGTGGCACCTACTATGGGACTTATGGTGTGATACAGTGGGATATATATCGACGCTCCGCTCGGGTATCGAACACGACGATCATCGATATCGAGCGATACACCGAAGGATCCGACGTATCTTTCAACAACAGGCGTTTTAATTTTAAATCCCCCGAGATATATTTTCATTCGCACTGAGAGAGGCCATCGTCAGCCGTTGGCTGACTGACCGACACACTCCGAAGAAAAAGAATCGGTCCGTTTACACGAAGATCGCAGTCGAAGTCATTTATGTCCTTCCACTACAACGTCTGGAGTTATATCGGAGTGCCACTAATCGCTCTTACCGTCCTCCCGATTTCGATATCATTGTACGCATATCAAAAGTGAAACCTCGATATTTCAATGCTCTCGAGCACCGAATATTGAAAAATGTGTTTGCACCGATCCGACACGTCTACGTCGATCATCGTGGCATGCGTCGCCGTGGCACGTTAACGACTCATCAGCCGAGTTTTACTGGTCATTACTGCATGTTTATCCTTAGCACGTGATGGTGTCAATGACCAAGTCGTCGGCACTGTCGCGTATCGTTATTAATATTTAGCTAGTCGCACGAAAAGTCGCATTCTCGGATCTTGGAATTTATCTTCGTCGAACACTCGGGCTTTTAATTGCTTGACTACGCATGGACCCGTCGAGGATCTTTCGTAAGCGGATGAAGTCACAATGATGACTTTGCATACGTATTTATTAATATTTCGATAAACACATGCACGTTAAAAGAAGCGGAAAGGAATTTCTTCACCAAATATCTTCGCGCCGACCCGACCTCCGTTATCACGAAAGTTTTTACAAAATTACTATAATTTTATCAGCGCGCTACGAATATATCTACAGACACGACGCGTCTTCTTCGAAAATGACCGTTTAAGACAAATGAGGGCTCTCGTATGGCGTCGCGTGTGCGAAACACAAATCGCTCGCGAGTCTCAATTAATTAGCCCACGTGAGACTCATCGTCGCAGTCGATTATCGTGAATAGCGTGAACGCGCTTAATACCTTATCCTTATGTCCTGGGGCGTGTTTACGACTGTCGCTATAGCGACCTTACCGTTATTGGACACCCACGCCTGGTGAACGTGCATTTCGCGCGTGAGCCCTTTTTAAGGTTTACGCGTAGAATCCTCCACTACCTTCGATAGTTTTGATATCAAATGAACTCTTATTTGCGTTCTGCAAATTCGAGTGCGTTTACGGTTGTATTTTACAGTAATTCTTTAAATATTTATATTAGTAGAATTGAACAGAAAGTAATGTCAGTTTTCCAGATTGAATTATTTTAGATAACAATTCATGTAATCGTTAAATCTTTCACTATATTAAATAATTCAATTCAAGAAGCCGATATTCCTGATTAGTGTAATTCTCATCGTGGTAGCAGCAACACTGCAACACAAACTAGCAAGGGGTACGCGAAAAATTTTGCGAAAGAAATGGAAACGCTTATCTTCAAATTGCGCATCATCGTTTATTTCAAATTAGACATATTTTTTCAAAGTTCCGCGGCGAGAATGACTATGAGCCGACACGGAGAGGAACGTATGTGCTTCTTTTGAGTGCGCCGTTGGTCATGCAATATTTTAACTGGTTCAACGAGATAATCCAGGCGATTTACCGCGGCGCGGTAATTTCAGATTACTATTGTGGTTTTAATAACGACCTAATGAATGTAACGAGACAATTCTCCCACGCGTTAGCCGTGATTCAGCGTGAAGGTCCGGTGTGATTGGTCGTTTCGACACTAATTTGGCTCCGCGACGGTATGTAGTGCTATCACGATCTTTTTATGTCTTCCGTTATCAGTCACCATGTCGGGTTTCCTTCATTCGATGACGGAGATCGCTCCAGCACTTAAAATACCGCGAGTTTTTTGTTATTGCCGACCAATTCATTAATCAATGAATTTATTATTTATATCGATTACCCTGCTTGCTTAGGCTTAGGCTAAGTGAGGATGAATCTACTATCTATAAACTAAAATGATTGTTTCACGTCAAAGTAGTAATTTTTCACGCTTTCTACGGTCCCTTCAATAATTATTATTCATGAAGTTGGGAATATTAAAGCGCTCAGAATCGATATTTAATAACATCAGTGGTCAGAGGACGTTATTAAGATGTCATTCTGCCTGCGTATACGTGTCTCCGCTTTGCGATGTAAGCTATTACTTATTACTAATATTGTGCGGTTCATCGCTGTCAGTTACGCTACTTGTTGTGAACTTCATGGTTACTAAACGCCTCGCAGAGACACATCTGTCGTATAGGCGGCGAAAGCGGAATTCTCGAAATACCTGTACTCTGTAGAAATTCGTGACGTTTACACTTGTTCTTCTGTGATACATCGCGCTGTTTGTCTCGAGGATTTTTGTCGCATTTTGTAATGCAGCGAAGTAGCGCTTATCGAAGGGAAGTGCCACAATAGGCATCGTTACCGATAGCTATTTACGCAATAGAAATAAGAAAATAAGTGAATTGGATCAGTGCATTCTTTTTCTGTAATTACGGAATAACAAGAGTGCATAGAGCGAAATTGCACGATGATAAGACGAATTAGCTCTGTAGTTGAACTTGAAGATCATGAAGCTCATAAATCACATTACCGCTGTGCATACTTTCGGTGTCTTCAGTGCAAGATCGTCGGTGGAATAGTAATATTTGAAGAAAAAAAGAAAGGATCCAGAGAGGGCAGCTAATGATTTTCTCGCTAGAGCTTGGAAATAACACACACACACAGATTTGAAGCTGTTAAAGGATGAATCAACAATTTCAATAAAAATCCGAGAAGGAAGATGATTAAAAAATCAATCATCATTATGAAATTTTTCACGACGGAAAGGCACAAATAACAAAGACAACTGAACAATTCAGCTTACCTTGTATCGTTGTCGATACAGAGAAGACTTGCAAAGTCAACTACGTGTTGATACATGGTATTATTTGTTTCCCTTTAATTGGCTCACAGAAGCCACGTAGTTTTACACTTCATACACATTTCATTTAAATCTAAAAGTGTTGGTTTATCCTTGACGTGACAATCAACATACGGCCAATGTAAAAAAGTCTCAGAGGAATTTTCCTGTATACTTTATTCTTAGTATCCTGTATTCTTAGTTCTCATGTTTTTGCTCTTTTGACGAGCATTATCTAAATAAGACTATACGATGCGAAAATGTATTCTCTTGTATTTGCAATGAAGCACTTGTTTGGAGTATTCACTATTGATTTTTACAATTTATTACGCAATCTCACTGCATTGGTATCCGCAGCATCACAAAGAGCAATCAAAGGCAGCTATTACGGGTCTGATCGAAAACGCGGGCTTCCAACTAGCGAGTTTCCGATCATGACTCCGACTGTGTCTTTGAGTAATCACGGATCTTCTCAGAATCGACGTATCGTCTTGTTTATTGCCAGAAGAAATTATTTATTCGTTCACTCTTCTCACTTTTCACACATTTTATTGATATTCGGTCCACGGTGAATTTTTATCAGCAACTAAACAAATGAATAATTAACAATACACCTAAAATTTTATTTGCGTATTCAGTTCTTCAAATTTTGTCTTTTATTAGATTGGTACGCGAAAGATTTGTCATTTTTCTATTAAATACAAATAACAAAATTCTAGAAATTTTGGGTAATCTTGTTTTCCATTTTTCACTCAGCAAATCTTTTGCACCAATCTAACACTTTTTTGTTTGATCATTTGTTTCATCAAAGATTTTTCGTCTCAGCGAATTACGGTTCAGCTTCCGAGACTGCTTTCAAGTTCGCGAAATCCCGTCGCCAACTCCCTGATTATTTTGCATGGGTCATCTGATAGAGTGGTGCACGATGGGACGATCGTCCAAAAACAGAGTCATTCTGATGGGAAAGCTCTTTCCGAATAGTTCGACGATAACTCCCGGCGGGAGGTAAGGGGAGAAAAAGACGGAAGCGCGAAGCGCGTCTGATTCGCGGCGCACACAACGCTTTGCCCGGTTGAATGGCAATTGTTAAACTTCCTTTAGCGCAAACGTGTACAACGAGGTCAATTGGCGTTAAACGGCGGCATTACGGCATTACATAACTTAGGGCCATTCCGAAGGGTACACCCACGCGACCATGCCGCGGCCTTTCGTTCAGCTGCAGATCACCTGAGATCCAAATCGCAGAGGACACAGGTGTCAGTAGAAACCGTAATAGGAAGACCATTGGACGAACTGCCAGATCGGTTCGGCCGGATTGTTGACTCTTTTGTTGAAAATTCGTCTTGACTGTCAGAAATTTCAGAACGTACCTTACGTCATACCCGGAACTTTCCGGGATCTTTTATGTCGCTCGATCCGATCGTTTCTCGACATTCGCGTGACTGAGAGCGACTTCATCAGTAACTTCTGATATTAAGTTGATGCAGAAAATTTGTCATTTTTCTATTAAACTTTTGTAGAAAATTTGGGTATTCAAAGGAAAAAAGAAAATCCTCGTTGATGCCTAAAAAAATAGTCAATGTCATTCATTTTGTTCGTAAAAATGACTAATTCTTTGAAATTAAATAATTTCGACTTCCTGTTTTATTTAGCAAACGCGAAACATCTTTTGTTCCAACCTAATAGAATGTAAAGTTGAAGTTATTGAAATTAGTGATCAAATAGAGATTGAAGTTAAGAAAAACTGAAGCTTACACTAAAGATTAAGATGACGTTGGAGCCCGAGCGGACGTGGTAATAAATCTAAAACTGATAAAACTGAAGCCGAGGCTAAAGCTAGCAAGACAGATAAAGCAGACAAGTACTAAATCTAAAACTAATAACTATGATCTACATAAGACACTTCGTGTCAGAAGTAATCTTCTCCGTGGATGCGTCTCCGTTCGCTTTGTTCTCGATGGCGCTGCTTGTTGTACAATGACGAGGACTATCCGCGAAACGACGTCGTTGAATCGGCGTGTAATTGAATTGCTCCACTTGACCAGGCACTTTGATCTTCCTGCAAATTGAATCCGCAGTTAATACAATTAACCTACATTATACAGGGGAGCCTGCGTACGAGAATCACTTTCTTCTGCACGCCACTTCGAAGTCGATATCGCGGCTAGAGCCGTTCGGCGATAGGAACGATAAAGTATCGTACAAAGGAATTTTGAGATACGACGCGCTCGAAGCACTTGCGCAACGTATGAGTTCGTGGTGCATTCGAAAACGTAAAAAGTCAAAGGTGTAAAATAAATCTTTCGAGTGTGAGATTTTTGCTCGAGGAATTTTATGTGTTCGTGCAGTTTTTTGAATAAAGAATGCAGAAGAGGACGAAAAGAGACGCGTCATCGATATGTTTAACTGAACTTGAGCATTCGATGTAAAAGTTCGAGCTTCATATTCTTTATCTGTTTGATTATCGCTCCCTCTTGTTTGCAGGTAAAATCGGGCTCTTTTACTTGATATTCTACGGTGTCTTGGCGGCACTCGTTGCCATTTGTTTCTGGGGATTCTTCCAAACGCTCGATCCGAGAATACCAAGGTGGCAGCTGGAGCGATCCATCATCGGAACAAATCCAGGTGAATCATTTTTGTGCTAGTACGTTGATAACAATGAAATAATAATGATTATTAAAACGAACACCTGTGTTGCGCTTTGCAGGATTAGGATTCAGGCCGATGCCACCGGAAGAGAACGTGGAAAGCACTTTGATTTGGTACAGAGGCACCGACAGCGAGAATTTTAAGCACTGGGTTGATTCACTACAAACTTTTTTAAAAGGTATACAAATATCCGTAATAAGAGAAAAATCTGATCGTCACTGTGCTTCAATGCTGCCTGTGATATTCCAGATTATATCACGCCCGGAACCGTTCTTGGACTTGGTGCTAACATTAACAAATGCGATTACAACCAGCCACCGCCACCCGGGAAGGTTTGCGACGTCGACGTAAAAAATTGGCACCCCTGCACTAAAGAGAACAGATTTAACTATCACAAATCTGCTCCCTGCATTTTCCTCAAATTGAACAAGGTGGGTGTAGAATATGGTATATAACGTAGAATATGGTATATGAATAATAGAAAATTTATGGATAAAAAATTGTATAATTTTGTAAGACTATTTTTGCAAGAAATATTAATTTGACAGTAGATTAATTAGACAGTAAGATATTCATCAGATTAATTAATTAAATTATAATTAAGTAATTAATCACTTTTATTGAATATTAATTTAATTGTCATCTGCGGATTCGCAGGAATATTTATTTTATTTGATTTTATAATATCAAAAGTTCCATATGTCTCATAACGTTTTCACTTATCAGATTTACGGCTGGAGACCAGAATTTTACAACGACACTGAACACTTGCCGGAAAAAATGCCACTCGAACTCAAGGAACACATTGCGAGCTTGAAGGGGAACAATTCCCTGCAGCTAAACACGATTTGGGTATCCTGCGAAGGCGAGAATCCTGCCGATCAAGAGAATATTGGGCCGATCAGTTTCTTGCCGCGACATGGTTTCCCGGGCTACTTTTATCCTTATGAAAATTCTGAGGGTTATCTCAGCCCACTTGTCGCGGTGCACTTTGTCAGACCACGAAGTACGACACTTGAAATTTGAGAATTTAATCTCAGACTGAAGACTAATTCGCAAGTAGAGATGCGAAAATTCTAATCACCATTTGTTTCTCGCTTTCAGCTGGAATCCTGATAAATGTGGAGTGCAAAGCGTGGGCGAAGAATATCAAGCACAGTCGTAACGACAAAATCGGTGCAGTTCACTTCGAGCTGATGATAGATTAACGAAATCTACAAGCAGCCCTACACTTCCCGCGCAGCCTTCTGAACCAAATTCGACGAGCGTCCTGTAGGTTGTCGGGACAGCAGCTGGGCGAGCCTTTACCTTCCAAATATTAAAGTCGCGAGAAGAGCGTGTCTCTCTCCGATCCTGAACGACATTAATCGAGTACAAAAAAGAAAGAGAGTTTTTACGACAGGCGTTCCTGAAAATTCTAAGTGGACTATATATGCACCGCGGTGAAAATTCGAGTTTCTGAGAGCACACGTATGTGTACGTTGAGCGAGAATATCGACAAGAATACATTACGTGCATCAAGAAGCCAAAGGTTTAAGCGAGGAAATGTCGAAATTATTGAGACTATTATCACTGAGATGTTTTTATTGAACTAATCACTTTCAGAGATATTTGTCTTCCATGTCACATATATCATTTCAAACTTATCAATTTTAATAATATCGTGTAATCGTGATAAAAATATCTTTAGAATATATTTTTTATTACAGAAAAAAATTGTTAATACATGAATCGCTACAATTTCTTTTAAAATTTGCGCAAGATAGAACTGAGATTTCTCCTCTGAAGAAAAATATGCTAGCTTCTAGAACAGTGCTTGGAGTTATTTGCACATTTCAGGCGATTTTCGGGAACTACGCCTACTACTACTTCCCCTTACCGCGCACTAACACGCTAACACGTCATTCAGTGTCGTACATCTAATGAGCGATAGAATAATGTGTTATCATAGCACGTCCCTCAAACGTACCATATTATATATCGAGTTGTCTCAATACATGCTTTCAGCTATTGAGGTGTGTTTAAGGAGCGCGTTATCAACGCTAACATATTATTCTATCCTTATCGTTCATTAGATATACAAGAATTGAATGATAAAGCATGTTAGCTGATCAGCGCATTCTTCGAACGCATCTTTAATAAATATCGTATAAATAATGTCGCCTCATAATGTCCAACGTTTCTAAGGCGGCGAGCTGCGATCAGTTGTGAGGCGTAGCTCCCGAGAATCGCCCGAAATGTGCAAATAATGCCGAGCACTGTTCTAGAATACCTACATTGCTAATTTCAAGGATAATCGTCGGCAATGTACCGTCACTTTTCACATGCGTTATTCTCGTCGATACTCGCTGCATATATTTACGGCTTAGAAAAGTCCTCTCACGAGTTCAATGTGTGTGCAATCTAGAGCTTTGGGAACGAACGACAGGATAGGATAGTGGAATCTCAAAGGATCGTAGCCTTCGTTTACACGTGCCTTCCTTTGCTCGTAAGCGCAATTTATTTGTAAAAAAAATCCGACCAATGTAATAGAATATAAAAGAATATCATTTAAAGATCATTTTAATACTCATTAGCTGCGTAGAGTTTGTATAATCGGTCGTGCTGATGACAGCGATCGGAAGACTTTTTCAACGTTTAAATGACAATAGTAATTAATGTATTCATATAATGTCATACGTCAGATAATATCATATCTCTTATCGTATTGGAACGTTGATAATTTTTTTTCTTACATAGATGATAAAATAATCATGAAATAGATAGTAAGCGTATAACTTTTATAAACAAGCAGGAATGACGTATGTCAAGTATATGATAATATTTAAGATATTTGGATCCCATATAATTGTTAATATATAACCAAAATTTAACAAATTCTGTACAAATTTTACGAATTTTAATGAATGGCATATGTCATACACGCCAGTATTTCATAATAATAAAAGACAGATTTTTTAATGTAATGCAAAAGGTGTAAGTTAAAGTATAATAAAAAAAGATTGACGTACTTTATTTTTATATGCATATGCTCTTATTCCATAAATGAAATTTCAAATTTGGAATATTGATTATAAATTGTTTGTTTTGTAAAAATCATTTTGGAAGTAAGGTGACTTTTCCTTCTTTCTCTTCTTTCTTAAAACAAAAAAGTGATTGTGTTTATAGATATGAAGTGTATAGAAATATGACATAATGGCTTAGTCCAAAGAAAGTGTATTAAGCCTGCTTAACGACACAGATTAATGATAAAAAAAAGTATCATATTTTCTACGTTATTTTATTCAATGTAATGGTATCGACATTATTTTGCTTCTTCTCATATAATTACGATTTAATAAGCACATGAAAATATTTGTGGAAAAGCGAATAAATTTCAGTTTTATCTCGGCGCAGTTAATGTACAGTGTAACGTCTGTGTAGTGTATTTTGTCGTAATTAAGTCGTAATTAAGTTGTAATTATGTGAGCGCAATTGTTAGCTAATAGCGGATTTTGAAAAACCAATATAAGAATCTCTTTCGAAATGCGATAAAGATATATCGAAGATATATTAAAATGAGAAGATATATCGCAAACAATTTTACTTCTCTATTGAAATTTGTTTGTAATTATTAACAAAGCGTAAGAGTTTGCGTGCATTTTTTTGGTTCAATTATAATCATTTCTATTTGCAATGTTTTTTTGTAGAATATTAAGCAACAATATTAAATTGTTGTATGGTAGTGTTAGCAGAACATTACTTCTTATTTATATTCTAATTATCTCAAAGGCTCAGATTACGAGAAACGATTATTCCACAATAAAAAATGTTTTAGTCTTTAGTTATCGATAATTTAGTTCTCAGATATCGGTAGTAATAGTTGATTCGTAGGCTTCCTTTCGTACGATTAGGCGTAAACATTATCTTTCTTATAATTCTCTGTATAATTTAATATAGATAATAGTAGATTGCAAAATCTGAAAAAATACTGACTGCTATTACCACCGCAGCATACGAAAGAGAAATTTTTACAATATGACAGATTTCGTAACTGAAATTATACCTCAAGAGACATCATGTGGGTACAAATATCTTGTTATCTTACGGTACAATTAATTTATTTTCAACTTTATCCCCCCGTTTTTATCCGTTCTTTCAGTCGTCAATTTTGTGTGTGTTATAAAATAAATGTTGTTTTCACGTAAAACTAAGGAGTAATTTTTCTCTTCACATTCTCAATTTTTGTATCGTTGCTTAATAGCATACACTTAGGAATATTAGGAATGTTCCTTATAGCAAAAGTATGATTTTATATATTTCATTGGTGTACCACCCGTAATTAATTTTCTATGTAACATACTTTATGTGTTAAATGGACAGCTTCTTCTTAAAATATGTATCCCGTAAAATTAGGAGGCGGAGGAAGGATTAGAAATCTAGTACAAGATAAGAGATTAATTCAAGGGTTAAGGAACGAGAGAATAAATTAACATCACGTAACTATAATAAATAAATTAAAAGGCACACACAAAGTTTACCGTTGCCTAAGAAAAAAGAATTTATACTTATCTGTCAGATTAATTCTCCATCATCGTCATTTATTTAAAAAGTAATAATTACTATACGGGTCGCGACACATATTCTTCATTTCATACAATTATTTCACCTACACGTTATAATAAGTACCAAAACGCTTTAGTAAGCGGGTGGTTTACATTGACATTCGAGCGTACGCATACTTTGTTCAATCAGACTGGATATGTGTGAATGATACGTATGTGTGAAGTTAGTCCTACATTTTTAAAACGTGATAAAAATGATTTGAGTTCGAATTGCACGTCGAAGGCTTTTAGAGTTCTCAATCAATTCTACATCCATCTTTGACGCTTAAAAGATAACTTAAAACTTAAAAAAGAACTTTTTATAAAAATAAACTATAATCATTATTATTAAATTTTGAAAATGTTGGGTTAACTTTATACATGTACAAATGATTCAAGATAGTAATATATAGATGTAACAAAAACATTAGAAATATTACAAATTTAATACAAATTTAAGATTTTACCAATATTTAAAATACAAATATTATAAATACAATTTTGAATTATTTGACGTAATTGATTTAGTTCGATTATTTAAATGAAATCTTAACATGAAAATCGCTCATTTTAACTTTTGAAAAGGACTTATCTATAGTTTTTTTTAAGAATTTGATAACAAAGTATAGTAAAATACTATTATTTAATATAGTAACTAAAGTATAGTTGCGGAAATTATCGAATTGATAACATGTTGAATTCTTAAATTTTATCTTGATCTTAATTTTGATTTTTATATCTTCGATTCGATAAGAGATCACAATCCCTTCATCAAAATAATCTACTATCCTGATAGTATCATCTCTCCAGGATGAAAGATTTGACCTAACGATTCATGAAGCTCGAACTTCGATGCATTAATTAACCGATTAATTATGCGTACTGTATTTCTAAAAATTAACGAATTTATCAACCTACTAATTTATTCTAGGCGCCAGCAATTCTCCATTATCACGATCGAAGATCCGGTCGCGTAGTGCTTTGGATACTTCGTTTATATGTCTCAAAGCTTCCTAATTAGTACACATCGGTGGAACTGCAGAGTCGAAGATGACGGCGCGCCAAAGGTGGTGACGATCTCGATGATCGTCACTGTGTGATCACTCGTCGACCATCAGCTCGAAGTGTACTGCACCTTTCTTTTCGGATCTATATGAACTATACTGGATGTTCTTCGCCCATGCCCGGCATTCCACGTTGATGATCAGGTTTCCTACAGAAACAGTTCTATTAGAATGATTCACTTCGCGTAGTTTAGATGGGCTCGTACTAGATGAAAGATTACGACAAATTTGTCCAAAGATTTTGGACAAATTCTCCTTTTTTATTAATTTAAATTTTTCTGAAAGTGAAGAACGTTCCAATAATTTTTGTTTAAAACCTGGAATAATTAATAAAGAGAGAAAAAGGAAAATAACGTACGAGTTACTGCGAAAGTCGTAACACGAACTAATAAAATTCAAAGTTCAAAAGTTTTGCATAGAGAACTTCTTCTAGAAAGTGATATATAAACGCATTATGGGTAAATCACAATGTAGAAACACAAGAAGTATGAATACAAGGTTTAACGGGTCTTTCAATTGACGAGCACGTTACCGTGACGTTCACACGTTTAACGGTAAAATCGCAGATGCAATTGATTATAGATCAGAATAAAATCTATTGTCCGAATATGATATAACATTTTTGGAGTAACATTAATCCGCATATGTAGCTTTAAGAGAGCGCGCTGGCCGATGACACCTTTCGACGACCGATACCGTGCTGCAACACACTGGCTTTTACCGGTTTCATCTGGAGTGCGTCATTTGCTTGCGAGTCACATGAACCGGTCAATGTTGGTGGATTCAATAAAAAATTACGTATCGACACTTGACGCATTTTAAGCGCTTGGCATGAGCAGCATGCCGACTGGACACCAACGGAAAATCGTTTTCAGTGAGTTTTTATTTAAAGAATGTATGTTAAATCGTTCGCCAAGCTTTGAACAGAAACCTTCACTCTTCTGTACTTTCCAACGTTCAGCATTAAACATTTCGAAACTTGGGCATTAAATAAAATTGCGATCGATGCAAAGCTTGTCTTAATCGAAGAGCAAAATTTCGGCAGAAATTTTTGTAATTTTTAGAGAAAGAAAGAAACATGATTTGTGAAATTATATATTATTTCAAGTGTGTTAAATGACTCAACGCAATAATAAGATTCAAACATTCAAATTTCCACAAGAAAAAGTCGATCTTATTATTTATCAGTGTCGGTGCATTTATTTTTCTGTTGCTGCTGATCAAAGCGCGATATGTAAAACGATATTAACACCGACTTACTTGTCGGCCGAAGAAAATGAACGGCCACGACCGGACTCAGGTACCCAGGAAGGTTCTCATACGGATAATAGAATCCTGGAAATCCATGTCCTCTCGGATAATAATTCAGTTTACCAATGTTCTCATTGTCGTGTGGATTTTCCCCCTTGCAGGATACCCATACGGTGTTTAACTGTAACGAAAGAGTAGCATGAGTTGAATATTGCACGATCTTGTGAAATCGCAATCGAGCGCGTATTTCCAGAGCAAGGCGGCCGCGTCACGAACCGATAGATCCGAATCGCGGAGGAAATGTCACGCGTCTCGTATCTAAACGCGGAATTTCTTTTTTCTCGAGCTTCGGCTCGACCCCGATTTAATTTACTGACTGATACAATTGACTGACCGACTAACTAACCCATGAAGTGTTGACTGTCTTTATATAGTCGACGAGACTATCCGGCATTTCAGACGGCAAGTTCTCGGTGTCGTTGTAATACTCGGGAATCCATCCGTATATCTGGAAGGTAATGCAAATAAATTAGCAGGTTCAGTCAGCAATAGTGTAGCTTTAGCTTCGAAAGAGCCCACGCGTGCACCCTGTCGACTCACCTTGTTGAGCTTGATGAAAATGCAGGGCGCCGAATTGTTGAAGCCGTATTGTTGACTCGGCGAGCACGGACCCCAGTTGTTCACGTCGACTGCGCACACATTACCATTCTTGGCTGGCATGGTGTAGTTGCAGATCTGCTGGGTTCTGCCGCCATCCGGCAAAAGTGACGGATCGATGTATTCTGTTGGGTTTGTTTTTTTAGCAGGAACACGATTATAGATCGCGCATATTTCACGATACGAGTAGGTCGAGGAGATTAAAGGAGACTTTGGACATTAATCGAATAATTCATCTATAAATTCGCGACTTCGAACGCTGTCACGGTGAAAATATACGAATGCCTGATAATGTGTCATCAGTTGTATATCATCACGATTGTCTCCTTGTTTTTACGAGGATGTATGTGAAGGAGTTGACACTCTCTTCGTGCTAATGACATATCGATGGCTTATTAGATTTAGTTTCCAGTTGAGCCGTGGATTCTTCTTTGTTTGATTCCTACGTTTCGCGAACATTTCAGTCCGCTTCATCAGGGAGGAAGAACCCGATGTTTCTCCCTGATGAAACGGAATGAAATGTTCGCGAAACGTCGGAATCAAACAAAGAAGAATCTACGCCGCTCAAATCCGGAAACTAAATCTAATATGCATGACACCGCGAAAACCTAAAATATCATATCGATGGCTTATTACTTACGTTCCAAAAACGTGTCCAAGAGCTGCGTCCATTTCTGCACCTCGGTCGCATTCGATGCTTTGTACCAAATGAGTGATCTTTCGTCGGCGTTCTCTGCGATTGGTCGAAATCCTAAACCTGATAGTGGTGCAAACGAAAAGTTCAGATCAGACCAAGAAGCGGAAATATTCATTTTGTATATCGCATGTAGATATCTCGATCTATCCTTTAGATCTACACTGTTTGGTTGCACCAAACGAGTGCTAACAATTAAAATACTTGTCTGTCTTGATTTATTTTGAAGAAAAAGGAAAGAAAAATGATTTAACTGTTAATTAACTTAGCACTCGATTGATGCAATTGGGTTTTAACATCTGTATGTATTATATATATTTATATACCTTGCGTTAATCTGGAAATTTCCGAGAAAAATTTCATGTCCAGCAGCAGGGAAGAAGTGATTTTTTAATGAAGATAAAATACTTAGAAAATTTCAGTTTATCAAAAAGTTCTAAAGATTTTTAAACCGTTTATAGATGCTTTGTTCTTAACACAATCTGAAACGTTTTGCTGTTGCGAAAATGCATGATGCGATTTCGCAGAGGCACCGTGTAACAACGAATGTCTGTGAGCGAAGAAGTGCGGTAATGTATGCTTACCTGGATTGGTACCGATGAGACTATCCTTCAGGGTCCACTTTGGCTTCTGAGTGCTCAACGTGGCAAGCATACCTTTCATGCAAATACTGAAGAGCACTGCCAGTCCGGCGAAAAAGCAAGTGTAGAAAATTAGAGTATAGCCTGAAGGGAGAGAACACAGAAGGGTATCATTAGTAGAAATCCTCTATTATATTGCAGCAACAAGACTGGCTTGTGCAAAAAAAAATATTTTCGCGAATTTGAGGAAAAGAGAGATATATTTTTCCTTCGATAAAATCGAAAGCCTCAATGATATTTCTTCGCGATTTTGCAGAGTACCGTGAGAGACAGAGGGCGGGGGGGAGGAGGAGGGCGACAAGAGAGGGTTCTCTGGGCTATTTATACTTCCGCCATTGACGCATCTCAGCGCCGTTGCGTGATCCAAATATTCATCGTACGAATACACACGTGTCGAAAAGTCACGCACGACGAGGTTGGCGTGATCGTGAGCCTCGTCATCCTCATCTCTCCCTGCTCTGTTTTTTTTCCCTCAACGGCCCCATATACTCCGCCATCACGACGTCACAGCCGGCAACCTACTTCGGCCGCTTATGCAACCACGTGGACGCGACAATTTTCATCGTTTCGTCGATCGAACGGAAAATATTTAAAGCATAGGGCGCCGTGCCAACGCGTGCTCTAAATATAGATCCTTTTTCAGAAGCAACGCGAGTCGCGATGGGCCGCCGTCTGCCACGCCGCGGGCCACGCTGTTATTAACTTTGGAAAAATCCAAGAGTCTCGCAAGGAATTCGACCAGAGATACGAGAATGCTCCGATACTCGAATATCCGACGTATCAATATATATTGGAACGTTTAATGATTATCTGTCAAGTGCAATGTGCACTCGCGAATTTTGATTACTTCATCGTTCAGCGATTACTCAAGGAAAGAGACTTAATTTGAATTTGGCAAGAAACATTTGGAATCAGGAGATAATTATTATCTATTACCAGATGATATTTCATTTAATTGTTCATATTTAGACTCATATTAATTTAGACTCGTATTAATAATTATTACTTACTACTCATCTTAAACGAGATATTCAGATTTGAGTTAGAGAGTTTTTCAGTTGATTATACAGATACGAAAGTATCACATATAACATAATTCGACTGTAAAGCTTGGATCTGACTCTGAAAAATATCTCATATAAAAATCTGAGTGTTTTATATGAGATAAGTTTCAGATGACGACTATTGATATAGGTCTTAATTTGTCATTTATTCGCATTGTGAAAGCGTGATTTATCATATTTTCTTAATGATATTGATTCCGCAGTTACGCGAAGAAAAACATCGATATGCGGATAAGTGCAAGAGTACATGGCGTATCTGTTGTTACATCTACGAAATCAGGACAAGTCTCTTGAGCAAGGACTTATCATATAAAATATTCTCTTATCATATCTATATCAAAGTGCCGGCGTTAAGCATCTCAGCTTACATATTTCTCTGATAACTTTTACAATCACGAATAATCATTTTCGACATATCGTGAGATGATGTCGATTCAATATTTACAACGATAACGACCTGTTATCAAAATTGGTCAGCAAACTATTTGAATAAAATCTTTATTATCCTGACACACATAACCTGCTTTCATTCAAGCAATCACTTTTCCCAAGACGTCACACATGATACTTAACATGTTTGCGAAGATGACTCGCATTTGCGAATTTTTACATCCTTAGATTTAATTCTTCCCGACGTGCATTCGACTAATTGCTAATGTGCGTTAATGGTTACAAATGCCTAAATATTTACAAGTATTGCGTAATGCATCACAGAGACCTCTCTTTCAAGGAATGTCTTACTGAGGATACTCCGAATGCCGAGCGAGGCCCTCTTGGGATGCGAGCAACTTAGTGCGGCAAAAGGCTCAAGTCCGTGGCCTTGATCTTTTTCCGAACGGGCTTTCTAACGAATAGATCTCGAACGTGCGAGAAGTGAACGTGAATCCTCCGTTTCATCACGACGGTGTATATTGCCACGTCCTACAATCGCGATCACGGGCACCGTCGGACACGTACCCGCACCGGCTGTCTACGGGGAGTCCCCATCGGACAGGTTGAAAGTGAAAATCGCTGCGGGAACGCGACGAAATACGCGCGCATTTCGGAACGATACTCTCGAGGCAATGGTTGCGTTCAGCAGAAAAAGCTGCTTTGCAACTGTTGTAAAATTCGTGAATCTGATTGGTACATGCTTTTGGATTCAACCCAAATTAAGAGCATACTCCAATCAGATTGACGAATTTTACAACAGTTGCAAAGCAACTTTCTCTGCTGCACGCAGCCAATGCACGCGAGATAATGGCCCGGGAAGCTTCAAATAAATTTGCGCGATGCGCATTACTACGGCGGAGTTATCATCTACCCGGTTGTTGATCCATCGGCCACGCGCGAGAGCCAGGAAATCGCGCGGCAGACATCGGTGCGCCTTGAAGAGTTTTCCTGATATCGGGATCCGCAAGCGAGCTGAGTAAATAATGTTCCACGTCATTCGTTGTCTGGTATCTTAAACGTACGGTCCGACGAATGAGGCTTTGCCGTGCCTGAGCGATCGATCGGGGTAAACTAATTTTCGGATCTTATTAGATTTTCATGATAATTGGGCCAATTTGTCTCAGATATTCGAATAGCTCTGTTTGCCTCGATTATCTTTTCCGCTATCAGCGAACTATCATGGAAATGTACAATTATCTCGGAGATTTTTTGATAAGACGTATAGTTTAGATTATGGAAAGAACTAACTAAAGAAATACCGATCGAAAGATATGGAAGTAAGTGGAAGAATTTCCTCCTAAACTGCACTTCTCATTGCGAGGATTTAAATGCTGTGCGCAATGTGCGCAACCTGCGGTCGTCAGCGCAACGAAAATTGAAGAAGCTAAGCTGTTCTAACAAACAACGTCATTCGCTTTATTTTCTCAAACAAGTGGCACTGTATTTCCATTGGTCGCACAGCAATTTTGCGAAACCGAAGCTGCGTGAGAATTGGCTTGATTAGCGCAAAAAATTTACACGCGGAACAGCACATATTAACATAATAATACAGTTCGGTTACTAGGAGACACTGCGATACACTTGCAAATTTATCTCTACGTACACGCGGCGCTCGATAAACTGTATTTCAATTCGATAGAGTCGATAGGTTCGAATATTACAGCCGCAGTCAAAGCCGCAAAATGAAGAATCAAAAGAGAAGAAAATCTTTCTCTTTCTTTATTCTATATTCAGTAATTATTCACAAATACATCTATGAACACGACTTCGCGATCGCTACAATATCGTGCAGTTTGAATAAACGTTTCTTCGAAAGGCGATTTATTTATCACGAGACACCTGTTAGATATATTGTTGTCGACCTCGTGCTGATCCACATTTTTCATACATAAGGCAAAGAGATCGGATAATCAGAAACACGGAAAGCAATTCCACGTGCTTGCAAATAGTTGAGTAGAAAATCACAGTACATTTGACGAAACCCTTCAGTGACAAAATATTCCTGTACATAAAATATTCCAATCGCAGTTTGGACACGTGTGGACTATAATTCTCTAGTCGGCATAATCACGCTTCGCTCTATACACCTGTCTCTCGATATTTGCGTGTTGAAAAAAAAAGTCGTACGATAAAGCGAATGTCGATAGTACAGTTACTGATAATGCGGTCGTGGTTATTACGTATTCAGTCGAATGTAAGAAAGCACGTGTATTCCTCGTGAACACCGCCACTCACGACTGGTTCCTGTAGTACAGGAGGCAAAGAATGTCGTGCGCGTGACGACACGATGACGTCAGTGAACAGGAGATAAAAAGGATTGTTCGATAATATGTTCGAATTGCTCATCGGGTAAATCTTATTGGTCCTTGGAAAGCAAGTTTTTTCAGACAGTTGATAACGATGATCGTTCCACGTCACACAGTCCGTAAAACTTGCTCGTGAATAGAATGCTTGTAGGGTTCTCGTGTTATTTTTAGATTCTTAAGGATAATCAAAATGTAACAGGAACTCATGGGAAATGACTTCTGATTAAAAGAATCAATTCGTTGATTCTTTATACGAATATAAAAATACAACAAGTCGTATTTGAAGGACAGGTTCTTTGGTTAGACTAATATGTGTATCGTAACTTCTCAATATTCATGACAAGACGAAAGTTTTGTTGAAGCCGAACAGCAAATAAAATTTCACAACGGTATTAAAAAGATTAGTATTATCAGTAGACTATGGAATCATAAGACGTGTAAGTAATTCCTAAGTATATCTCGTAATTTGCATCTCATATTCTGCGAAATCCGTCGACGCGTGAATAATGTCATTATAAAGAATGATGCAAGGAAAATCGGTAACATTAACATTGAAGATCGAAAAAAACAACGTTTACTGGCTGTGAAGGTGTAAAGAAGCTCGCGTATCATCAGATCAAGTGCTTCAAACAGACGGACAGACAGAGTGTGCATAGAAAATTACGTTCTTGTTTAAAGTGACTTTCAAAAGTGATTCGAGTGTCTTCTCCTTTCAGTCCAGAGCGCGATTGACATTCATGTCTTACAACCTGGAAGAATAGTAGCACGTCGAAGTACGTCAAAGTGCTCGCCATCGTTGCCCGCTATGTATTACCATTGCCGATACTTATTTCCGGTGCTCTCTCACACCAGCCGCTGCCAAAACATGAGGCTCAGGGTCGGCCGCTTCTAAGCGACCGCCAAGAAGTCTACATAAGACTTATCTACGTACTCTTGACACGTACACATGGACGCACAGACGCTCGCTTCGTTGTTGTAGCGCGGAGTTAATAATTCTGAGATTCGTTGAAACAAGACTTAGAAACTCGGGAAAAGAAGGAAAAAAGATCGATTATATAGGATGGTCCGCATGAGAATATACAACTATTCCGTTTAATCTTGAAATCAAATTTAAATAAAAAATAAATGTCAACAGAAATTCGTAGTTGTTGTCAGAATTCGAGCGTCTCATTATGAGCTCCGTGACAAGATTAAGGTTTAATCTCAGTCGCAACTACGAAGGTCGTGTTAACATTTGGTCGGCTCTTCTTATCCTCTCTGTCCTGTGAATAATTTCTCAATTATTAATTTCATTATTTCTCAAAATTCAACGCTGGACTTAGGAAACATCAACGGCACTTCTAACATTTTATCCCGAAAGAACAAACACAAACGTGATACTCGTTGATATTTGCAACAGCAACACTTCTGCAAACTGTCTGGCAGTGTCAGCGCTTGCATTTTGCACCTTTTCGAATGATTAATCAATAGTTACGTGAAATCTGTCGTTCATTACACGCTAACTCGAGCGTTAAGATGCTCATACATCGATTACCATCGAAAAACCAGATGTATGTTTGTGTAACAATTTTTTACTTGAAATTAACTCTAGAATTTACTGAGGAAATATTTGTTTCTCAATCCTTTATTCTCAATCTGTCTACACAATCAAGATTATTTCAGTTAATTGATTAAATTAACCATCGATCGCCCATAGAATAATTCATCAAAGAGATCGTCGATTGAATTTTTAATAGAAACGCAAGAGATATTGGAACCGGTTGTTGTGTTGTAAAGGTCTAAACGCCCGTGCACAAACGCGATTTATGTTTGCTGTATACGTGCATGCGCGCGGCAAGTTTAACCAATCATAATAAACCCATGTTTACTATAGAGAGATCGGTACGTTCAGAAACAACAATGATCATCCTCGCTACACGAGGAGAAACTAAAAGACCAGTATGAATATTTCACGATTGTTTACTCGGAATTAATTCCAAGGGTACCATTCAAAGATACGGAGATCGCTTATCACGGTTATACGAGAGATTATTTTCATTAATGATTATCTCTGTGTTTGCGCTCTAAGCATATTTCTGAATCCTTTGTGTCAGTCACGATTCGAGCGTTCTACACTGGTGACTTGATTTCGACACTGCAGGACTTACGAAGGCAATTCGGTCGTCTTGCGCGATTAGCTTCGTGATCATTAGAAATTTGCATTGCTCGTATTTGCTAACAAATGGAAATTTGTTGTTGTGCTTATTGATAGTTCCATTGAGGCTCGACCGGTCAACGTCACATCAACGAATAAAATACTATTGCGATCGAAGTCTCACGATCATTGGTCTAATGTCTAGCCTTTTTTCACGATAACGATAACGTCGCGATACGATAATATGTTTACTACTTGCAATGTTTGTGCTTTATTTTTCTCTGCTTAACGGGAGTGCTCGCGAGTATCAAGAAGAAATCTGCTTAGCCTTATCGGATGAAATTATGGAAAACAATAATATATACCCGTGGTATTATAAATTCGAATATTTAACACAGAATTTTTATGTCATAATCTGAATTTTAAAGATTGATTTCAAAAAGCGACGAGAAAAAATTACCATCAAGAGAACTAGCAAAAAATGGATGAAATATTCTTCTCCTTTTTCACGTTTCTCTTCTTTTTTAGCTATTCGTTTTTTTTAATTAAGAAATTTCTTATTCTTAAGTATAGAGCTTGCATACTTCTCAATTTTAATATTGAATAATACATTAGCATCCTATCTTATAAATTCAAATCGGGAAGTCTTAAGCAACATACCAATATTAATTTCATCGATATTGGAGTACGTCTAATTTGGTCAAAAGAAAAATCTTAACTATTAACGCATCTGACGCACGTAAATCTTAGGTTTTATCACAACGAGATAAACTTCCGTCAGCTCGATCTTATTTACTTCTTCGTTAATTATATTTAATAATGCAAGAAGGTATCAAACATTAGTAGTGAATCATTAGTAGTGAATCATTAGAATCAAATACAATCATAATTCTATACCATCATAATTCTACCATGAGTATATGAGATCCATTGTTATAAAGATATAATCTTTTTGCATCTGCGCAATATGAAATCTAAGTAGTATTATTTTGTAATTTAGAGGAACGTAATACACGAACGAAATCGTTTTCCCGTGCCTCTAATGATGCTCTGTTTTCTTGTACCTATTTTAACGTATCTTCCTTAATAAAATCGTCGGAATTTAGCTTATGCCAATTTCTCAAAGTAGACGACTCTCCTAACACACAATGTTAATATTAATACTAATCTAAATAACATCAAATTTGTTCCTTTTTTCGATAACCATATCTAAGAATAAAAAACAAAATTTCGAAACAGAAACCTTCTTTTGCTCTCAGTTACGATCAATTTCATGCGTTCGAAGTTGTTCTAATATCGAAGTTGTTATAACATCGTAAAAGATTACGATGTTTAAATGCGACGACTTACCCCATTTCTTCGGCGGATGACCGCAGTACGTTCCCTCCTGAGGATTGTAAATACCATCGCGGAGTATCTCCCAACGCGTCCTAGTATCGGGTACTCGCATATAATCGAACTCATAGGTACCGTTTTGCACTTGCTTGCCGCGTACACTCATCACGGCGACTGATATCGCGGCTCTTTGGTCGTTCGACGTAGGTAAGTAGATAGGTAGCTAGGTAGGTAGATAGGCAGACAAGCAGGCAGAGACAGGTAGACAGGTGGACAGGTCGGTCTTGTCAACCTTCACGCGTCGAGCAACTCGCGCGGACTGATACGCGAGGTAACGGGGAACGCGACGCGATCGCTCGCACCGAGCTCGCGCTCCGCTTGAACTGGGAGAGCTGGCTGTATGGCAACGCGATATATACGTGGGCAACGAGCATGTGAACGAGCGGATGAACAAAAAAACAAGAACGGATGCTTTGTGGAAGAAGCAAATTCGATATGACAACATTTCATTCAGACACAATTCGCAAGACAAGACGGTCGTGTAAGTTTCGTTACGCCGTATGATGTGCGAAATGAGAAGTATTTTTTTTTACCATATCCCGATACTATGAAATGTATGCAGAGACGTGATTTAATGGCAAGTCATTAATATGTAGTAGAGGATCTAACGTATAACTCACGCACACGTACACACATTCGGTTGTATTGAACTGTTTATTGAGAGTGCATTTATTAAATACATTTGCTTGTATTTCTACTATACACTATTACGATATATCAATGTACAATTCTATGTAAAAAATATTATATACAGGAAGCATTTAAATAGTCGGATAACAGTAACAATAAATTTATTTTGTGATACAAATTGCAGTACACATGATCTTGTACTATATGCTGTTCATTACGCTATATTCGCCAATACTTTGGACTAATGTATACGATAAAAATATAATATTAATAATATTAATATAATAATAATAATACTTTATGAGAATCTATGTAAAAAGAAAAAGGAAAATATGTTACAGTCTACAATTCTTTTATAACGCTTCACTACGAGAAAGCATATCGCGCGCGGGCGCGCGCGCGAGTCAATAAGATATTAAAACGTGACTTTTGGCATCTAAAAGATCTCGATCGTATAAATCATTATATATAATTAACCGAATCCTTGAGCAAAAGTGGTGTAAATCAATAATTTGTAAGGTTTATTCTCCATAATATTATCTTCATACTAGCGTATCAATTTATTTCTTCCGATTATTTTTAATCATTCATTTATGACTTTTTGATCATTAATCGATCAATTACTTCATTTTAAAAATCTTGTATAAAATTGTATTTTATGAATTGTATGTATGACGATCTGTTTTCGTTCTAAAATCTAGAAAATCATCAAAAGCAATTTTATGGTATGCGAGTATGTTTTGCTCAGCGCTATTAATAACAGACATAAAATAATGTTACTTATCTAGGGTTAAATATGACGTCACCTCTAAAGTGGACCTTATCAATTAGAGGTTTACTCCACTCTCGCTTCAGACCAAAGGCCGTTCGTGTGGTCGAAATGCCACGATAATCGCAATTATCAAAACATTCGCTTACTAAAAAGAGTCTCGAAGTACGAAGTTCGGTTTAAGTCTCTTCGTGAGTGTCGAAGAATACCGTGATTTCTTTATGTCCGCTATATTAAGAGACGCGTGCGCGCGATAGCGTCTCGACAGGCGCCAAATACGTAAAATATTGACTGGTAAAAAATTGCAGCAACTTTGAAGGGTCTTAAAAACTGTAAAACCTGAGACGTGTCTCTCGCTTCGTGGCACAGGCACTGTCTCACTCACTCTCACGCTGATCACAATCCATAAATAAAGTTGAAATTCACCGAATCTCTTCTCATCATCATTTCTGTATGTTGCTTTACGCTTATGTCGAACAAGTACAGTTTTTCTTCCGTATTGTTGCTTTTTTTAATATGGTGGTGGCTGATGCTGATAGGAATGTTGCGGTGGTTGACTCAGGTGCCTCTGCAAATGTGTCACAAGTTGAGGAGTCGGTTGTTGCCCGCCAGCACCGCCCTGCTGTTGCTGCTGCTGCTGTTGAGCCGCTTGTTGCTGTTGTTGTTGTTGCGCTTGCTGCTGCTGCTGTTGTTGCATAGCCAGCATCTGTTGCCTGATGCGCTGTTGATTTATCGCTTGCTGTTGCTTAAAAGAATATGAAGATAATTAATTAATAATACTTTATAGATATGATTTAGAAATAATATTTGACTTTCAAGACACGTACCTGCTGGAATTGCTGATTTTGCTGCTGCAAGCTAACATTGGTCGTTCCTACTCCGGCTACACCTACTGCACCTGGTTTCCCAGCGGATTGCCGGTAAGGAGGAGCCGGTTGAGTCTGAACACCTCCACCCATTGGTCCCATTGCGTTCATCGTTACGTTCGGCGCCTGAAATAATCGCAAGACATTTCCGTATACACAAGCATACTAGTATACACTTACAAATTTACAAAATCTAAATATGACATAATTTAAATGTTTCCAGTCATTTCCTTTTTATAAAAAAATATATAAGAGATTATGTGAAAATATTAATTCCTAATTTAGTCAATCGGGAGCTACATTTGAAGTAATTATCATACCTGTAAATACGTCGGCCTCGTAGCACCTGGTTGCATTCTCTGTTGTGGCATGTATTCTTGGGCCCTTTGTGGGCCCATCATTTGCTGTGGATTAGGGAACATCATATTTTGTTGTTGATTCAACATGCCCTGCTGCTGTTGCTGTTGTTGTTGCAACAACTGCTGCTGTTGCTGCTGCTGCTGCTGTTGCGTCTGCTGCGGCGTCTGCTGTTGTTGCGGCTGCTGTTGCTGCTGTATCATTTGCTGTCCACCGTATCCTGCGTAGTTCTGATTCATGCCTGCACACAGAAAGTGAATATCTTGAATCCACCAAACGTATACAATCATGTGTTTAACAGAAAAAACATTAAATTTATATTAAATCATTTTTTATAATTTCGTACCTTGTTGGATTCCAGGGTATATTCCTTGTTGCTGTTGTTGCTGTTGCTGTTGTTGCGCTGCAAACATTCCCTGCTGCGGATTCATTCCGGGCGCCCCGTGCTGTGCTCTCAGTTGTTGCCTGATGAATTGTTGCCTCTGCATACCTTGGAATGCAGCCGGCCCAGTCACCGGCGTGGCACTTGGCTGTTGTTGCGATCCTATGAACTGCGTGGCCGGTATCCGCATCCGCAGCATATTAGATAGAGCCTGCTTGGACTGATTCATTCCCTGTCTCTCGTAACGCGGTCCACTGACTTGCGTAGGTTGCAATTGTTGTCCATATCCGTACTGTTGCGCTGGTGTGTGTGTCTGTTGATTAGCATACCATTGCTGTTGAGGCTGCGGTGGTTGTCCGGTGAACATACTGGGTTGTTGTGCGACGGGAGCTTGTTGATTGCCGAATGCCATTTGTTGCATCTGAGACGGTGGTTGCTATAGATTACAAAAAGACAATTATTCGAGAGATAATAACTATCAAAAAATATATAAAATAACGAACAATATAAGCTAAAAACTGCAAAATCTAATTAGTATACACACACACAAAATGTAGTGTAAATATATGCTAATTATACTTGCAATTTGGCCGCTATTTTAAATATCTTTTTATTTTAATCACAGAGCCTTATAATTATTCAATTGAGCTAATAATTGTATTTTTTTCTTCTTGTAAAAAATTTCAATTAACTTCGAATTAAACTCACCTGTATTTGCTGCGATATAGGGGTTGTAGGAGTAGCAGCTTTAGTGCGTCTATTGTGCCGTTTGTTTTTCATAGCTTTTCCCTTGCCGTTGGTGCCGGTATTACCAACACCGGCGTTATTGACGTTACTGCCAACTCTTCCTGGAGAGTCGATACTCATCGGCGTGTCCGCTTTGCCGGGTTCCGACTCCTTCTTGTCCGGTTCCAGATCCTCCGGCGGTAACGGCGGTGGATCCAGATAATGATTAGCTGGACGTATCTGACTGTGAGTGTGGTAACGCAATAATTTATGCGCGTTTTGATATGTGAGCGGTTTGCGTTCTAATTTGATCGCCCTGAACCAGGCCCAGGAAAGCGGTGCGGGATTCTTATGACCTTCCAGGAGTTCCCACGCTGATACTCTTTGTGAATCACATACTTGCAGACCCTAACGTCAAATGTAACACACGTTATAATCATCACTAAAATTACTAGTTTTAGGCATATTCTTGTCGCAAATGTTTCAAATCACGAGTACACACAATATTTTTCGCATTGACGTACCTGCTTCTTATCGATACTGTCGAAACCGGCAATCTTGTTGCCCTTAGTATCGGTCAAACATCCAACTGGTTCACATGCGATAACTTCCATAGTCAATTTCGGTAATGGTAAGAGTTGTCTAACGAAACGAATGCTTGGGGAATTTCTGTCACCTAACTCCTTCTTCAATTTCTTCATCAGATTTTGATAATGCTTCTTATTTTCGTCCTTCTCGGATTGCGAATCTGACACTAATGTTGAATGGATTAATGTCGCTAGCATGTCTATAACGGTTGTGAACAGTTCCGCGTTATTGTTTAAGTCTATAACACCGTAACTGACTAACTGAACCAACAGAATCGCCCAATCTGTCGTGGCGGTCGTATTTCTTTGTATGGTATCGAACACGCCACCGACCAGACTGAATCGTAATTGTAACGCGTCTTGTAGTACTTCTCGCGTTTTGGGATCCTCGGAGCCGATATGTTTCTCCTCCTTACTCGTATTCAGAAACTGCGAGAGTTGCGAGTGCAACGACGTCAGTAAGCCCTCTCGTTGATCGTCCTGACCCTTCAAGCACGTCAGTACCAACGACAGAAACGGTTGATGATTGAACAGTGATGGTGATTTTGATCTACCTCTCTCGCGTCCCGCTGTCTTGGACCAATTACCGGACTCTAACACCTGTCCTGCTACTTTAAGAACTCTACCTTGCACCGCACTCGGCAATTTGGAGACCAGCGGAGCCACCAACCATATGGAACCTGATTTTTTGTCGGGTTTGCTGCTCAACGTGTTATTCAACTGAAAGACGTCGATCGCGGCTTTCGCGACTGTATCCAACCATTGAGAGAGCTCGCTGGAGCCCGGTGTGAATTGCTTATACATGAGCTGCAGATCCAGCCAAGACATTCTCAAGCTCCACTGCTCCAAATTTTCCAAGATGTTGGTAATATGAGTCTTTTGATCGATGAAAGCCTCAGTCGCGGTCTCAGGATAACAAATCATATGTAATAATCTCTGGGCTTGCCGTGGTGTTAACATTGTATCCAGCAACATGTCCTGATGGCAGAGCTCTTCTGGATTCTGCAAGCATCGTTCCAACACCCACTCTTGACTGCAAATCTGTCGGAGGACGTGATGAGCAAAATCGGAAAATCCTTTCACATTCTCCGTTGTCATTCCGGCGCTGCTGCTGGATGAAGACATAGCCAAGTCGAGACCGAGATCGTCGTTGCCACCTAAGATATCGCTGGTCCCCAAGATATGGCTGATTGATAGTTCACCGGGTCCGCTGCTGCTCACACCGACCCCAACTCCAACACTGGCGGGGCCGCCTCCTTTACTAGAATGACTTAGAGGTACATCGGCTTTCTTCGGAGGCTGTTTACCAGCCGTAGCATCCCCGACAACCAATATAGCCTTCAGTACAGCTAGAACTGGACCTACTCTTATGTTATTGTGCGCTGCCGCCAATAAATGCCTGTCGCAGCTCAGTTTGATACTGTAACCCCGTGAATTTCCGCTTGGCAGTGGATGAGGGCTTGTGCTAACGGAATACAAGGCTGGTTGCGGGCATTCGACGGTCTTGAAGAGTCTTAACAATAAATGACAGGTTAAACGTGCACCCGCTTCCGCTTCCATATCGACGTCCCCACGACCGTCATTACAAGTTTTCACCAAAGACGGTAGCGCTATATGCACGACAAAGTCTTCTAGCGAAAAGCAATGCCTTGCTAGAAACGTAACGAGTTACTGAATTACTATTCATCACAACATATGCTATATTTGATAATTGCAAGATGTATTTCGTCGGGACTTACCGATTAGAATTGATGTGAATACAGCCAGAGAATTGTGTATACTCAAATCTTGCACATCAACTTGATTCAACACGTCGATGTAGAAAGCAGGACTGTTAGAGGAGCAACAGAGCGCCATGAGTACTCCCAGCCACTCGGCATTCAGTGCATTGCAACAAGCAGTGAGTTCCGCGCAAGTTATAGCAATATCGTTCAACTTATCGTTGTCCGTTTCGCTGCAGACCGCGACGATCGCGTTGCAAACAAAACTATAGCGATTAGCCGGAGTCTCGTTCAGCTGTCTCGCCCATTGCGGCTCAATTTTGCCGCCTCTTCGCGGACTGGTGAAGACGTCCACCATAAACTGCGAATTATAAACGTGACTCGAAGGCGTTGGCTGCAATGCGCTATATAAAGCAGTTCGGATTTTCGGGTAAGCATTGCTGAACGCCTCAACTCCGTGGGGTTTCGTCTTCAGAAGAGAACACGACGAATATAAATCGTATAAGTGCGCCAACACGCATCGTTCGGCGGAACTGCAATCGCTCGGATTTGACACATGCTTTACCACTTTGCACAACAAATCGAACACAGCTGTCGTCTGCTCTGGTGATACTGTAATAGTTTTACGTGCATTTGTTACTCTCGATTTAAGATAAATAAGATATAAATATAATTATACATTTTTTACTTATAAAATATAGCACATATATTTAACGCGTCACACACACACTTGAATTAGATATTAAGCTTGCAATTAATTTACTTACACAACAAACAGCAATGGTATCTTCTTAATACTCCGACGACGTATAAACTCAAACTTGTGGTATAACTTCGTACTAATTGACTATTTCTAGCTGTTAACTGTGCTTCTACTTCTGGTAGTTCTTTCAGTATTTGTATACAAACGTCGATTAGGCCGTATATATTCAACGCCAGCTCCATGAGATCGAATAGGAAGGCCACGTGTTCTTGTACTGGTAAATAAGATGAACCGGCTAATGCGAATGTATTCAACATCTCGATCACTTGTGTCGCGCACTGCCACGTCACGACATGTTGGTCGAAATAACTTAGATTTTGAAATTTCATAGTGATAGCTTCGAAATTGAATTCACTTCGAGAATGTTTCTTCACTTTGCCTCCCTCCGCGACGTCGATACTAAATTTCTTGCCAAACAGTTTACACACCTCCTTCGTCATCTTCTTGACGACGTGTCTGGCTTCATCTCTGACGCGTCCGACGCCGTACAGTAATACATGCCGTTGATTGCACTCATGCTGACTATACGTTTCGTCCTGTAAATATACAAATATCATCGGATTAAATAAAGCTTATAAATTATATACGACGAAATCCGATATTTAAAAGCACATTTTACATATATATAATTTTTTTAACCAAACTATTTCAACACACAAATTTATTCTATAACAGTTTTTTAAGACTGTTTGGACAAATTAAAAAACAAAAAGAGAAAAATTACTTGTGGTAATGGGAAGTGAGTGGTATACAGTAAATGTCTGCTATGACTTGATGGCATTTTCGAATCGAGGCTCTCGTGACCACCATGACCAGTTAACGCATCCTCCTTGGGGCTATCTGGTGCATCCATACTGTTTTGTTGGTCTTCTTTAATGTGTTGCAATAACTTGTCTAAATCATCATCGATTTTACTATCATCGTAATCCATGGTACGTCCGTGATCTGGCACTTCCAATTTAGTAGGTTTTAAGTCTATACCAGGAAACAAACTATCTTCATCGATCGGCTCCCTATTACTGGGAGTTCCAGGTTTGCTGGCTACTGAGCCTAATGGAGATACAATAATTACACAATTAGACAAGCGATCTGTCAATTTATAGAATATTTTAAATGATATGAAATGCGAAATAACGTTTAAAATGCAAATTCGTACAATTTACATGATTTTTGTTTTTAAGCTTAAAACTTTACAAGCTTGAAATCATCAAAATAAATGGTTCTTTTCAAATAATTGCTTCTACCTTGTATAAGATCACCTCTTGAGATGAGAGTACACATGTACGCGTCATGCGAAAATACATCGTGCCTTATTAACTCAGAGAACAGATGAACTAAATTCGTAAACTGAGCCTTGGGTTGAGCCGAGGTATTGTCCAGTACCGGTGCGTCTACGTCCAAGAATTTCATGAGCAACGGTTGGAAAATTGGTAATACAGGCGGACTCCCGTTACTGCACACGCTATCTTTGTCATCATTATCGTTAGTTTCACCGGTGGCCTCGCTTTGCCTCTTTTCGAGAAGCTTAGCGACTGCCATCGCTCTGTGCTCGCCCCAACGTTCGGCACTCACGGCCCATTCGCACAAAATCTCAACTACTGCCGAATCCTGTTGTGGATTATATTCTGTCTTTGCGTCACGTTCATTAGAGCTATCTTTCGGGGGTGGTGTAAAGATTTTTGCATACAACGTGTCCAGCGAATTGGCAGCGTCCATTTTGTCGAAACTGTGTCGATCGAGGGCGTCTAGTGCGGCTAGCACTTTGGTGGTCGTCATTCCCGCACTGCTCTGTTGCCATTTATCGCACGACCACCTACCTTCCGCCGCTTGTGATCGGGCTCTTATATTTTCCTGCGCGATCTTGAGCTGTTTCATTGTGGGATTACCAGAGCTCGCGGGAGGACACGGTAAAGCTGCGGGTGGACATGGCAAATAATCTAAGGGCGATCCATTCAAAACCGACGGCGCCTTCCCCTCGCCGACGCTGTTCCAGACCAATGCTGTGGGACATTCTAGTGTGATGACCTGAAAGTGCATAAATTAATTCCATGAGTTTGTGATCTATTTGTAAATATGAAATAAACAAATTAGTTAAAAATTAGTTAAAAATTAAATAAACAAAATCATTGTATCTATATATTTCTTTTTATGGCAATTCATTCACCTGTATTATGGTTGACAAACTATAAATTACATCTCTGTGATGTGCGCAAGTTAAATAATCATTGAAAGCAACAGTTAAGGGATTTGGCGGTCCTTGGACAGTAACAGCTGTCTCCTTACTGCCATTAACTTCGTTCTTCGTAATGGACGGACTCTGTGGGTTGCTATTGGTCTCAACATTGCTACACATATGTGCCAACTTACGACAGCACAGATACGCCAGTCGTCTAGCTAACAGTTCAGATTGTATAAATTCTTCGAGATATTGCAGAGCCAATGGTAACAGGAGTTTCAGTATGCCGTCTTCAGAAGGAGAGGATCTAATCTTATCCAGCAATTCTAAGATCCACTGTAGCAACTCTTGTCTGTCAAGTAAGCCTTCCTCAAACATGTATTTGGCCAATTGCACACAGTAATGCCACTGCTTCAGAGCCAATTTGTGTTCCTCGTTCATTGTGCTGCCACTTATAGGCTGGCTGCTTGAAGTAGGTGTTGGTGGTTGATTATTGGTGGAACCGTTACTATTGCTTGCATTACTATTATTGACATTATTATTGTTGCTGGAGCTGTTGTTGCTATTGTTCGTCCCAGTAGTTCCATTATTACTGCAGGAATTGTTTGGTGTACTATTATTGTTGTTAGTACTAGCCACATGATTGCCCATATGATAGTACTCCTGTACTTTTGACAATTGATCCTTTAGAAATTTTATGAGTGTACCTGTCCATTCTAAATACAAAATACAAATAATTATGTTTAATATTCTTTAAAATCAAAATACAATCTGCATAGAGTACAACGTAGTTTCACAAACAATAAAAATGCAACAAAAATCACATATTTATATATGTGATATTTTCCAAACTAAATCAGAAGGATAAGTATCTAATTTTTTATATTCTTATAATTTTACCATCGCAACAGAATTTCAACTCACCTGTAGTTGGATCAGGTAGTTGCCGCTTCTTGATTTTAGCTTCTGACACTGCAACAGTATACGCAGAACTGAGCTTGATGAACCAAGCTGCTCTAAGCATCGGCACTTGATATTCGCAGAGCATCATAAATATTTCTTCCTTTTTATTAAAATTTGGTGCTTTCTTCGCAAGAGTAACCAACGGTTTGCAGCCAGACAGATCCTTGAACCAAGCCTCGATTCCATTCTTCGTCCTGGCTGTTACTGGCCAGAAGTTGTCCTTAGGATTGATTTGCTGCCTTTTTCTACCAGTATCAGGCATTGTCGCCAATTCCTCCTTCTTGGCGAGAATAGCGTTGAAGTATGCGCCAACCTTGGCAGCGGTGACAATGGAATCTCTAGCAGTGCCGAACTCGTGCGAGAGCTGGGGCATAGTCGGAAAACCATGCTTTACGTTAGTGGAGGTGAGCTCGTCTTCCTTCTGCTTCGGCTCCTGGGGATAAACGTCCGGAGGACCCAGCCGCGGCCTCTTTAGCGGCCTCTTCTCGTACAATATTCCCATCATGGTACAATCCGAATATGAAGAGAATAGATCGTTAGACAACGCGCGACTCGTTCGCTAGCATCGTCGCTGCGCTGGTTGACCAGCGCGATGCAATACGAGAGCGAGATTTCGCTGTAAAATTAACCGCGCACACGTGCAACATCTATCAGCATCGCCGATGTCCACGTGAAATAACACCTGTCTCTGCGATCACAACACACTTCATTTGCTTCCTACGTACTGACGCCGTTAAGGTCACCGTGTCAGAATGCATCGTCGAAACGTACTCATGATCGAAGGATCGGGAAGTCCGTCACGAATGAGTTTACAATTTCTCTCTCTTGACGAGGAGGGATCCGATATTTACATAATTGAATTTACCATTCTCCTCTATGCTCCCATTCCGCTGGAAAACACGCTTGCTCAATGCGCAGCTACAGCTCATTTCAATCTATTCAGCTGTCCTCAGCTGTGTCAACGGCTAATGCACTTTATATACTATCGAGAAACGGCATTGCGATTTAAGATGCTCTCGATAAGCTCCAAGAAAACTAATAACCGATACCAATCGTTCGTTTGGCTACTTAGATATGTAGTCAATAACAGGTAATTAATTTATAACCAGTCCGCGATATTCTCATAAATATACAAGTTTACGCCGCAAAAAACATTGATGTGTCCCCTTTGATATTTCTATTTGAATAGAGATTCGGTTGACCTGTCGTTGAGTCGAATTACTTGAATATATAAAAGTCTCTGAGACCTATTGTGAAATAGTATCAATTAAAATAAAAAGCTTTTTAATTTATCAAGGAAATATATTATTTTATGATAAAAAGATTTGATCTGTTATTGAAGCGTACTACTTAAAAACAAAATGTTTGTCTGACTTATCGTTGAGTTACATTATAATCTCAATTCCTCGTCGAGGACGGTGATGTCTCGTAGCGGAGACTTTGGAACTAATAGCGACCCAAGTAGAACAACGTTATCTTAAAGTATTCCATTTTACTATATAAAATTAGGTCAGGATAACTTTATTTTCAGTAAAAAAGTTAAGTTTCTGTTTACTGAAAAGATTATCTAATGTCCGCCCGAAAGATAACTTTTAATATTCAAAAAGATATCATTTAGATATAAAAGTATCAAGTTGGTACATGGATACAAATTAAATATATACTAAATGATAACTGTAAGATGCGTAAATGAACTAGCTATTAAGGTATTTTTTGGGAGCGTCGAGCGTTAAAGCGGTAGCCAATCAACGTGCAACTTTTCGCAATAACTACAAGTATACTTCTGGGACCTGATACGTTGATTGGCTAACGCTTTAACACTCAACGCTGGAACGCTCTATGTATTGGCACTTTTAGCCAAATGTAAACTGTTATTTAATCGATGTCATATTAATGGAGACGAATTATTGACATTGACTTGTTATCTTATAGATACGTTCCAAAAGTTAACTTTAAGAACCAATAGGCAACCTGTTCTATTTGGGGAATTTGGTAGCTTGCACTAGTACGCACTGAGTGCGCGCTAAGGCTTGTTTACAGTACATTCTTATATTTAAGATCGTGTCTTATTACATATTTAAAAACATTTTAGCTAATAAAATGATTCGTACGGATGTTATACATATCATATTACTGGTTAAAAATATTTGAGAATTTATTTAAGATAATCTTTAAATATAATAATATACTATAAACAAGCTTAATGCGCACTCAGTGCGCTCTAGTGCAAGCAACTAAATTCGCTATAATTTAGGCTGAGTTCCCACTTAGTCCGTCAAGCGTCGCGTCATCCGTTGCGGACCAATTAAATCGTCCTATTTTATTGCCTAATTTTACGACGAATAAAATGGAACGATTTGTGCAAGTGTTACGACTAGTGCAATAAATTGAAGTGAGGCAAGTATATGTTTTCTCATTCTAACCTTTTACATTAGTTCAGCAGTTAAAAAAAACAAATCTTTAAATTATATCGTAGAGAGAATTATATGTAGAGATTTCTCTTGGTACCAACATTATCCCCTCCACTTTTCGGGAAACGTCGCCTAACTGTCTCTTAGGCTGCGTTCAGATTCTTCACCAGGGTGTATTCTATTACTAGAAGTGCTATAGTTTATGTAACATATACTGTAGTGTTTCTAGTAATAGAGTGCACCTGGATGAGGAATCTGAACGCACCCTTATATCAAGGGTCTCTACTAGGCGTTTTTTCGAGACGCCATCTAATAAAGTGCGTCTTTACTACATTCGTAAATTTTATTAAGCGCACTTTGTTAGATGGCGTCTCAAAAATACGCCTAGCTTTGACCACTAAAATCAAGCTAGTGGTCGCTCTCAGGCTTCTCTTTGGTTAGACCCGTTATTTCTGTAAATTAGTTCCAAAGTCTCCGCGATAAATCCGTATAAGTCGCCACTTACGTCATCGAGGAATCAGGATCGTAGTACGAGTTAACGGCAGGTTAGATAGACCTGCATCTTCAACAAATACAACTCGGAGACGAATTTTATGGACTCTCACTTCTCCGTAGCGCGATCGAACACTGGTTAAATATACTTCTATCGCTATCTATCGTTATTGTTTTCTCAAATAAAGAACTAAGAATGTTAATACATACCAGTCTTTTTTGAGAGCTTTATTGTCACGTGAACAACAATAAAACGGCTGAATTTTGGCAGCCGTTAGACAGCACTGCCTATTATAAACGTTTATACAAATTCAATTTCTATTCGATACTATTTAATCACCATAGACACATGATGCATAAGAGAAATGTTAGAAATTGAAAGAAAAGTAAATACAAAAGCCATTTTGTCTCACGCCTCACTTTACAAAAAGAGTTCATGTTCAAAATAATGTTCGATACGTATCGCATAAGGGGTATCTTCGGCTTCGCAACGTCGGATGCATTCGAGAGAAGCGGTTGAACAATTATCATAAATTACATACGACAGATTTGCTACTTTATACAATCAAATCCTTATTCATATATATATATATATCAAATTACACTCGTACGCGCAAACTGAGGAGCAAGTAATTTTTATACATCTATTTTGACTGTCCTTATGTATCTTAACTTAAACGTGATTTATGTCGCGCATAAGTCATAGGATTATAATTATATTCAAACACTTAACAATATATTGATTTAAAAAGGTTTCTTTACTTAAAATCTCGTGTGTTATATCGTATGGCGTTCGATCAGAATTTAATCCGAAATCAACCAGTCTAAACTAACAAGAAATTTCTTCAAGTTAACAATATGAAATAATGACTAATTCAATCAGCTTGTTGGGAATGAGGAGATGATGGCTAACGAAATCATCATTCAGAATAAAATTACGCAACAGTCGCACGACCATCGAGTTCCGGGAACGCATTTCGTTTATGTCGACCACGTTTTGCTGATGATGCATATTTATTCCTACAATTCGATTCCCTTCTTCTTATTTGGCCTCCATGCTCTCACAATCACTGCGTAGCTCCGCGTCTCGTGATGTCTGTTGCACTTCTCCTCTCAATCGTCTCGGAATGGCAAAGGAAAATCGATCTTCGTTATCTTTACTTTAGTAGAAAAAGTACACATAGTATGGTACAAGCGATTCTCTTGCGGTGGTACAGTTTCGAAGCATTCTTCCCGTTTTCCCTTCCCTTTAAGAATACATGTTTTGTACATTCGATTCGGGATTCGATCTTTGATTCGTTGGAATTTTTAGAACCGTTAAGAGGAGCCTTTTGACGATTCAGATTGCGTAAGCGATGTTTTTATGTTTTAAGCGCACTGGCACGGTTTACCGTTTATTACGATAAATACTTCCAATTAGCGTAGCTGCAATAAAAATGACAATAGTCGAATCTTATCTTATCTGTGTTCTTCGAATACAATTCGAAAGACTGAGGGGGAGAGATAGAGAGAGGGAGAGATAGGAGCGACGACGGTATGTTCATAACATGCCGAAACCCTTCGAATAATTAATTGCCTTCAATAAACGATCCTGCAGTTTCTCCATCGTGCTATAGTCCGGTAACAATAAAACGTTGAAGCATGTGTGTGCAATTGGCAATCTGAAAATAGAACGTTTATGTGACAATGAGACAGATATAAAATTATTGGCGCGACGCGAACGTTACGTTACCTGTCGGAATCCGGGCCATGTCTAGCGATAACCATTTTCAGTCTCGAGAGGCCGCCGACCGGCACACGATCGCTGCCGGTAGTGAATTGAAGAAGCCTCCGTTGACTTTCAGGCGGTAACGAGTGAGCCACGCGCCAAAAGTTACGTACTGCCTCGCTGTCGACGGTATAGCCGCCTTCGTATTCTGTAGCGGCCTCCAACTCGGCAAAGTCGAATATTTTGCTACCGCAAACAAGCTGCGCAGGTGTTCAAACATGTCATATTAGTATAACCGTGTAACGTAATTCTTTTTTACGTCACAATAACGTCGACTATATTGTGTACCTGTTCGATCTCCTCGGGTCTGAATAACAAAGCGAGTGGACTCTCGTCCGTAACCATTTGGAAACCACGCCTGAACGCATTAAACTGTCTCTCTACCGACTTGTTGAGCAAGAAATCCGCGTAGAGATCGGCAAATTCTTTCTTATTCTCTTGCGTGACGTACAACTCGTCACCGTTCTCTTTGAGCTCGTGAAACGATATCGATCCGAAAACGTCTCTGCAAGGTGACGAGACTGATGATAAGACTGATACAAGACGATGAACAATCACTCGCATACAGTTAAGTCTATAGTTAAGTTATCAAACCTGTAAGCCACTCGGAAGGTTTGCATAAACGTCTCCGGCATATCGTCTCCGGTATATTCCATTAACTCTCGCATCGTTCGATATAACGTCGGACTCCAATCTTCCAGATCCGCAAAAGCACCTTTCCTGCCTAGCAATTTTCTATAAACCACCATTGGGAAGCGCACATCCAAAATTACATTATTGTAAATTGCTAAACCGAGGACGATGCCTATTAATGTGAACTGTGCGTCACTTTCGAACGATGTAGGATTAAACCATGTCATTTGTGTATCTTCCTAAAAAAAATAGACGATTACGTTTCACAGATCTAGATAGAAAGAGACGCTGCATCTAATGAGAAATAGAAAAATAGGAAGAAACTCAATCGCAAAGTGAATTTCTTACTTGAGAAGTAAACATGCCATAATCAGGATTAAAAATCTCTTCTACAACAAGTTGGAAGAATTCCTTAGACACACCGCCTTCGTCGACACCTTGTTCTCCTTCAAATTCGACAACTAGCTGTTTCTTCAAGTCAGATGGATTCTCCATAGCTACCATTTCCAATTCCACTAACGCATCATCTATTAAATGGTCTCTTCGAACCTGTTCAAAAGGAACATTCTTTTTCTATCTTTTTTAAATACAACAATCTAACTTCCCCTTGATTCAACGAACCTTTAATCTGAGATATGGATTAGTGGGTTGCCCGACAACAGTCTGCAAGAAACTCATGCGCCGTTCACTGTACATCCTGATGCGGTTATCGTAATAAAGACCGAGAGTTTTTGTGGCGGGCGTGAGAATGAAAGCATAATTCATAAAACTAAATTTCATTGGCTCTTCGCTCTTGTAATAAGCAAAATCTTTGTCCATTTCTATGGCATCGCTAAGTGGCTCATTATAGAAATCGGTAAACGGTATGAAAGGTTTGCGTGCGTCTAGCGCAGTGATTCCTAGTTCTGTCGCTAATGGATCCTAAAACGTGTTTACACCGTGTTTAATTCTCACGAAAAATTAACACGACAGATACGGCTGAATACTCTAATGGAAATTACTTACTTGTGGGACCTGTGACGATCGTGAAGCAGTCTTGTCATTACTAGCCGACTCGGCCTCGTCACCTAACATGAGCTCGGGACCGTCTAACTCACCGGCTAGCATGCTCGCGTAATATAGAATCTTCATAACCTTCGTGGGTGCGGTAATGGTATCCGCATCTTGGACGCAATAATCACGTGTGAAAGATCCCCCTATCACCTGTAACATAACAAACAGTTAATCCTTTGATTCACATGAAACAAGGAACGTCAAACGTGAGTTATCAATTACAGTTGTAGTGGAACTTTGTAATACAAACAGAATCGTTACAGAATCGGAGAAAGTACCTTGACGGTTATGAGCTCTTGTAGCGCCTGTAGAAGATTCGGAAGTCGTGATTTGCAGTGCTTGGCCCATATACGCGCTAACTTAGCTTGTGCCACGACCGGTAAGCAGCTTAACGCTTTACACAGCATATGAAGAGCCAGTTCCAAGTATTCGCTATTCCCGAGCATCGGTATTTCAAAGACAATGAGAAATACATTTAATAGACTATCCATACTTTCCCAGCGTACTATGCGAAATACCCTCAAGTCTAATTCTATGTCATCTGCCAAAGTGACTAGTGCATTGACCAGAGCTGACTCGAACACTTCACCTATTATAGTCGAGCATTAAAATGATCATTAAAAATCTGGCAAGTTAATGTTGATTTAATTCACATGGCACAATACTTAATGTGTTTGCTGACGTTTGCAAGTTATCTTACACGTTATTTCTCAATAAACTAAGCTCTCTTGAGCAATACACCATTATCTTTCTCCTGATTTTCCCCAGTATGCACCAAACTACATAATTTTATACAAATTCCATTTCTTCTGTTAAGAAAATGGTTAGTTGACATGAAAAAGCTCAACTTGATCTTTCCCCTAGTTAAATATATTTCTTTTGATTAAGTACGGCATTGAAGATATCTTGCGCTTAACAGCAAACATATTAATACTGAGCCGTTACTTAGAATAAAATCGTATGTTCTTCATACCTGGCAAAGACCAAAGTGCCTCGAAAGCTCTACGAACCGACGGTAAATCGACACTGGTATCATCGTTATTAGGAACTGTAGGTGATGGATCGCTGCTGTCTTCGTCTTTGTCTTCCCCTTGCAGAGATCGTACGGCCTCCTTATCCAGATCAGCAGGTGGCCTTAACAAAGTGTCTGGTGCTCGATCGAGAAGCGCCGCCAGAGGGGAATTGCTTTTCTCAGTTTTTTGAAAACTGAGGCTTAATGCCTTTGCGGAAGAAAACACTTCTCCTAGAGTGCGAATTAATAAAGCATATGAAGTTTCTGCTTTACATTTTTCTATAATATCCAGAAGTTTATTTTCTGTGAGATATGGCTCTTGTTTTCCTGAAAAAAAAAGATCAGATGACATTAGTTATTCTGTGAATGTTTTTATCCACACAGGTTTTTAACACTAAAATACATTTGACAAGAATTTATTCTTGCTGTAAAATACCTTCATCCGAACTTGGAGGATTAACACTTTTTACAGGTAGACTCTTAGCTAAAGATGTTTGACCTGGCTCTATAGTAGTCCGTGCAACTTTACTAGGTTGTGTACCATCGCAAAGTCTTGCTTCTTGCGAGAATAACTGAATGGCCTGAGCAGCTGCCTGATTTGGAGTGAGATTACTAACCTGATATAAAACAGAGTAAGATAATATAGAACAGAGTAAAGCAAATAAGTGAAGCTATATACATTAGGCCGAGAGCACACGGAACAGCGTAAGTAATGAAACTTCAATAATAAGCAAATTGATCAACCACAGTCAATGATTCTTCTTACAGTCTGAGAATAATCGATTGTGACTGTTATTAATTTAGTTATTGCTTATGTTTTCCTACGTACTCCATCCACTTTGATTTATCTCTATGACTACAGTAGTTGAATAAATGGATTCTGAGGTAATACCTTGCCACTGGAGGCACAATTTTGATTGTCACAGTGAGGATTTCCACATCCATCTGTAAGTTGGTAAAAGTACCGTTCAATAAGTTTTTTTGCAGCTGCGCGCTTCATGTCGCTGCAAGGGCTTTCTGCTCCTACCCTGTAAAGATCATAACAAGGTACAGAATATACATACATATACTTATGTTTACTATATCTTACTTGCAGAAATTGATAATTGATATTTCTTACTTGCAGAAAAAACACAAGTGTGAGAATATTCCCTGATAGACTTTCATGATTGTCAGAATGTGAGACAATCAATGATGAAACTCTTTACTCTTTAATTAATTCTTTTAATTACATTCATAAAATATATTGTACTGAATTATTAAATTTACAATAATGTGCATTAATGAACAATTTTTGTTGTTTTAATGCAACAACAAATTTACTAAAAGTTACACTCAAATTTTCATATTACATTTAACGTGGCATATTATCTGAGGCAAGTTTTGATCATTCTTTTTATATTTTTACCTTCAATTTATGTCATTTTATGTAATAAATATGAGTCCAGTCATAAGAGACTCAACGTTGCTGAATTTCGTGATTTAATGCACTTGAAGTTTATCAGTACATCAGTACATCAGTCTATCAGGATGCATTGTCAGATTTCAAATTTAAAATATGTGTATACATTGACTTTTAATGTATTCAATGTGCAATGTTCTGTTACTTTTCTTTATTTTTATACACATATAGAAATTAATATTCACCGAGTGTTCTCTAGATCACAATAAAACCGTACATGTCATCGAGTTAGGAAACAAAGCGTCTGTGAAGGATGAGTGTTGTTCGAATTTTCAAGGGTCATTTCCCACGCCACGGGAAACTGCTGAGCGACGAGAAGACTCGTCGTGGTCGTCGTCACTCGTCAAGATCGCACGTCGTCGCGTTTAGTTCGCCAAGTCGGATACAGTGTCGTTGCACCAAAACAAAGTGCTAATAATAGATATCCTCGCGATTTCGCGATCTCACGACGAAGGTAGAGTACTACTACGTCGCTGTAAACAAATCTCTTAGATGACGAGGAGACAAAAAGAGAGACAAAGAGAGAGAGAGAAAAAGAGAAACATATGTATCGAGCTGAAGACAGAAAGCGAAAAAAATCTCGGTTAGCAGTATTTCGATTACACAATTTTCTTATTCGTCGAACACAATTTTCAACGCGCGACACAACGTTGATTTCCGCACACTAATCGACTATCCAATCTATAGTGTGTGCGAGTCAATCCTGGATTACTCCGACCATTAATTTTCTACGCATTTCTCAAGAATTTCTACCACATTTTCATCCAGAGAACTTTCATCTGTTTCGAGTTCCCGGTTGGATCTCAGTTCGAAAGGCGATGATTAATAATATCGATAATCAGCAATCCAGGGTCGATGGGAAAAACCGAGCGTTCGTCGTTTCTCGACTTTTCCGTGCTCACTGTGAGCGTACGCGGACATTGTAATTCTGCAACTTTATTGCATTGCATACGATATCAAGTGCACAACACGTTGTAGTACCTGGAAGCGTGATCTTCTCCAGGGTCCCCCTGGCCCTCGGCGCTCATAGACTGTGAATCGTCGGAATTTTGTCCGCTTCCTTGGCGATCGTGATCGAGAAGTCGAGTCGCGCACCACTGTGCGTTTGCACCAACACTCGCCACTACACACGACCGGCCACCACGTTTTCACCGTCCACGCGCAAAGTTCTCGTACCTTCGAGTTACCGTTGTTTCGTATTTATATAAATTTCCCGTGACGTCGTCGAACCGTCCTTTAAACGTCGCGTGTTCGCGAATGATTCCACTTCCCCGCACCACTGTACTCTTCTGTACGTCGTAGAGACGAGAGAGAGAACGAGAGAGGAGAAAGAAGGAGAGAAGATAGCGAAAGAGAGAGATAAAGATAGGCAGCTAAGGAGAAAGAGAGAAAGAGCTACTAAAGGCAACAGGGAAACATAAGAAATAGAATGTAGGAACTAGTTGGAGATCAGAGGGAACGGAGAGGACAGATAGATGGAACTGTGAGCGAACACGAGATAAAAGAGACAGAGACGTAATATTCTTAGATGCGTCACCGCGAAGGGAGAATACCTCCGCTGCGTCTTGGAGGTTAGGTAGATCGATGACTCGCGAATACGCAGCTCACGCGGCGGTAAACGAGTCAGCTCGTGGAGCAAGAGTATCGAGACGGGGAAAGAAACTAGCGTTGTCGTCTTTTTTGCCCCCTCAGCCCACTGATGTTGTTGTTGCCGTCGTCTACCGTTCACGATCAGCACCAACGACGGACCACGAGTAATCGCAGTGGTGCACACGACTCTCGATTAATCGCAGTCGCACGCGCGAGACGAATCGATTGATATTTATACATACATATATATCGATCGATTCGATATATCGATGAGAGACGCGCGCGCGTCTCGCAACAATGGCGAACGGGTCTTGTGCGGTCTCGCGCGTCGTGAGGTCAACAAAAATAATTCGGGCTATCTTTCTAATTGTGTTTCGTCGTACTCACGCCATTCATACGTCAAACACTTTATGTTTACGTTTACGTACGTCGCGCTGTATCTTGGCCGTTAGTCAGTTGCCGACCGTCAAAGGATCAACTGAGCTCACGCTATACACGCGAGATATGTTCATCCTAAATTCTTACATTATTTGGCGGAATTGTCTAATATTCATAAGAATCGTAGACTACATTCGAACTAGGTTCAGTCTCGCTGTGTACAATATTCACATCCGTATCTGCGATTTTACACTCAGATTCAGATAATTGTAGAGTGAATTTTATAAATTCTGCAAATTTTTCGAAAGTGAAGTTTTATCTTTTCCGATTGTTCCGATTGTTAATTTTCCGATTGTTCTGTTAAATCGCGGTCATCGGAATTATCGAATTCTTGATATACCTCGCATACTCGAGGCGAATAAGAGTTAAAGTACATTTGCTGAGATTACATTTGCATTCTTCTTGCTTTGCAAAATTTATGCTGATCCGAAATTCACAATAACGATATTCCTTGACGGGTGAGATTTTTTACAATCATGTAACTTTGACGCAATTTATTTTCAAGCATTTATTTGGGAAAGATATTTTATGACGACCATCATGATGTTAATAATTATTATTGCAACTTAAAAAAACGACTATGACAACGCGTTTTGCACGAATAATTTCGCGCTATGTTTGTTTTTTCTTTTTACTGATTTTATATCTGATCGATACTTTCTTTCACTGCGGCCGCGTTGATCCGTGGAGACCTTCGATCTGTATGAAGTTTTTATAAAAGAAAAAAACAATACGTCAGAGAAAGAAAAAACTACGTCATCTTCATTCAAACAATTGCCATATTAATAAATAAATAAATTACGCGCTGACGCAACGCAATTAATTTTCAATTTTCAATACTATCGGGATAATCATCGTTGAATCAACTAACAGGTTGTTTCATCTCTTTTTATTGACTCGACTCTTGAACCGTGTTTAACTGGCCAGTTTAACTGGCCAGTTTTGTTTATATATTGCTTAATGCTTTGTTTATCCGAGCAGTTCTTTTTTTCTCAGCTTAAAGCTGCGGCTATGTACACAGTAAATTAACGCGACGTCCCAGAGGACGAAGCGTGCTTGTGCGTGCTTGGAAATCGGAGAAGCGTCAACGCGAAAGATGAATTGCGCGAGAGTATCAATTTGCAAATGAGAAGGACGTGATCGTGCAATCGCATGGGTGAACAGGAGTCTCTATTAACGGTGGTGATAATTGCTCGCCGGAAATCAATGTAGGTATGTACATCGACGATGGCAAAGTAAACTGTTGCAAAGTTGCACAGTTGCATTGTAGTGATGTAATGACGCGCCGGAATAATTAAATGTGAAGTTATATTTGTTTGTATTACCCCGAGATTACACATAATTCATACAAACGGGCAGCCAACAATTATATTCGATCAATCAATTAAAGTTACGAATTCGTATTGCTTTATTTGTCTGTATTTTTCAGGAGAAGATCACGGAATTGTTCTCAATGTAATGTGAATACAAGTTTACGATAAAGAACGTGCCTCGACAGAATGATTAATGATAGATGGGTGATATTCGAAAAAGCTCATCTTCGTATAAAACGGCTTCGTATTCTCGCCGGGGAGGAAAACACATCTTCGGAATTTGATCGGACTTCCTAATGATATCTTGAGACTCGGAAACAATTAACAGATTAATTTCTCACATTAGAGAAATCGTGTCTTTTAAGATCCTATACATAATTAAGGAATTCCTTAGGAATAGATCTCACGCAAATTTCCCGCAAACAATCGCATGGCGATTTCATGATGACTTGAATCATAAAACTGATTGTTTTCTCATGATATTATATCAACGATTAATTTACGAGGTAGCAATTATAATTTTCAATTAATTGGAGAGAAAGAGAGAAATTCATAGTCTTTCTCTAAAAAATTTCATTACTCGAATATCTTATTGAAAGTCTACGTACTTACAAGCTTCACTGACAATAAGACGTGCCGGTCGAAACACATGTCAAAAATGATATCGGATCTGTTATTGATATCATCTTTGAGCCTCATGTTATGTTTCCTCTCGAGAGCACTCACGTACAAGCACACGTACATAGAAAAAACGTATACTTGCACACCTCTCTTTAGCCGAGGGTAAACCTGGCCAATGAAACGGCCGGAGTAAATGGATGATACGATGTGACACTGAGAGAGTAGCCGAAGTGAGAGAGGGTAAGAGAGAGAAGGTGTAAGGTTTAGGCCAGAACACAGCTCGCAGGAGCAGTAATATCGATCGATCCGGAGTGGAGTTCGAGACTTGACAAGTCAGGGTGTGCGTGCGGGGGCGAGAGAAAATAGGAGAGAGAGGGGGGGAGAGA